CCTGCTGGCGTAATGCATGGGCACTTTCAGGTAAGGTACAAAACACGATACATCATATGTGGATGGATGAAGTGACGCTCAGCCAGCTGAGCACCCCCGCGCGGAAACGAAATGCGCAACAGGAGCCGAACGATTTCTGATGATCATCCAACTTGGCGTCCATTCTTTCTGCTCTCTTTCTCTCGGAAGCAGCATCAAGCGAGCGTCAATTGCGTTGGAAGAAGCAGAAATGCAACTATGGGCGAGGTTCGTGGCGCTTGGTTCGTGACAGGGGACTGGAGCACGTTATTGCGCGGCCTCTTGCGTGTGGGGAAAAGCAGAGAAAAGGGCAACTGGGCGAGGCCGGCAACAGATGCCACAGATGTGCCCCATCGTCGACTCGCAGATTATCAGAGGAAAATCCACAACGGCTAATACCCTGAGAAGAGACGCGCAAGAAAGGGGGTTCGAGGCCAAGCGCTGGGGAACATCTGAAGGGAAGCCAAGAGCTGGATGCTGCTGTACTTGCGACTGTGATGGCGCTCGGCGGATGCTACCTGAAGGCGGGAAAGACTTGGCTCATGATGATACAACACAGTAGTGCTATTACACGCCTGGGCATTGTTAAGAGACGCACTGACGATGGTAGTAAAGGAAGGCCGCCTGCTTGCTTGCTTTCGTGCGTCTGATTTTCCCTGGGCGTTCTGGGGCCCGAAGCAAGGAAAGAGTATGCGACGAATGAGCTCGGCGGGATCTTGGGGATGCAAGAGAAGCCGAAGCAGGTCTCTGACAAGAATGTCCTAGAGGGCGAATACACGGACGGATGATCCCTCGAGCCTAAAACCGGCAGCCAGCTGTTTTGCTAGTATTATTTTGCCTGCTGGCTTGCCTCGGGCCGCTGTGAAAGTGTGCCACTCTGTCGGGCGCTGCCAACGGTGAGGCATCTCCGACGGGCAAGGGAGGAGGCTGAAAAAGAGGGCGGATGCTAAAAGCAACTTCACGGCGAAGGAAGGGGAGGAAGCAAGCCCTTCCTGTGACGGGTCCGGGGGGTGGTAGTTGTCAGGGCCCAAGTCACTCTACGTCTTGGTAGAAAGTCAGTATTGGCTTGACGATGGCTGGCGTTTGTGTGTGTGTGTGTGTGCAGTGTGGTGTGTGGCACTGCGTTCCTTCGAGCGTAATTCTAGCGGCACCTGGAACCCCGGAAAGGCGGATCTGCAACACGTCCCGCGCAAGGTACGGGCATGTGGGAGCGGGATGTATCGAGGTACATCTAGGATCAGAAGAGAGAGCGTATGCTGTGTGCTGTGTGGCTGTGTGCGGTCCGAGGGACATGGGATCGCGGGGGGATCTGTTTCTGTTGTCGTGCTGCCCTCGTCTCTTTGGATAGAATGATTACCCATCATTGACAATGGCGATGAAATTGTTGGCGATTTGGTGTTCACAGAGATAGCCCTCTTGTAGGTGTCCTTTTGTGTGTGCCGAACGGAGTATCGGGATACCGTCGCCATCTCGGCGCTCTACCCTGAACAGGTCGGCGCGGCGCAGCGTTGCCGGTCGAGGGCCATTCACTCTCGGATATCGGCTCCGATGACGGGTTTTCCGGTGCTCTGGCCATTGTGATGGAGCAATCGAACGATGGTGGTCATCGCCACCTTCACAGCTGTCTCTCCTCTCTTGATGTAGAGTTTCTATTCATATCGACAGAAGATAGCAACATCAAAAACATACATTTAATAGAAGTGCAGATATCGAAAAAGGTCCAGGGGTCCAGCATACATCAACACTCAAGCCCTCCCATCGTCAACAGGTACATGCAACGATTCCAGCCACAGACAAGAGACTCGAGCCCGTCTGTCACCCATCGGCAAACGCTTCTTCCATCTTAAAATGTGGAACCCAGGGGACCGCTCCGGTTTTAGAAGATTCCCGCCAAAAGTGCTAAATCAAGCGAGAGGCCATTTGCTGCGATCACGCCCCTGTGTGTCTGCATCATACACACACACACAGTCTCTCTCTTCTCGTCCTTCGACAGCACAAGTGTGTGAGTGATGAGTCTCTCAAGGTATCTTCCGCTCTCCCCTTTTTCTTTGCTCACAGCCACACAGACACCCACAACGCCCACAACCACACCCCATCTTCCCTCGCAACGCCGTCGCCTCAACCTTGGGGCCCTTCCCCCCCGGAATCTCCATCCCTCTGTACCTCTCAGCCGTTCAGAGTTTCTTCAATCGCTCTCGCTCCCCATAGAGTTGCGCCAAGCGACGCTGTCGTTGCCGATCTATCCCTCCCTATCTCACCCGCCATCGGCGCGCCTCGTTTCCCTTTTCCCCCTCCCCTTTGCCAATTCTTCAGCCTCCCCACATGCGCGCCCGTCTGCCATCCATCCATCCCCCTGGAGAGGTACCGTACCTCACGGCGACCTGCTGAAGGACGCTGAGAGGAAGACTGGGAGTGACATTTGGAAGAGGGACACGCCCCCGTCGTCGCCCCAAAAAAGGACCCGAGCTCGACCCGACCTTGGATCTGTCTGGCCTGCCTGCCTGCCTGCCTGCCCTGATCTGCTGTTCCGTTCCTGCTGCGTGCTGCGTGCCTTGTTGTTAAAAAAAGTTCTGGACTCACTCAATTCCGACGACGTCCATCGGTTGGTGACCGCGACTCTACCCACTGCCGCCCGAGAACCAGCATTGGCTGAATGCTTTTCCTGGAAATTTGAAGCTTCGATGATTTGATCCACGCCGCCTGTCTTTGTTTTCAAACGTCATTCCACCACGACTGCTCAGTCGTTAATTCGACGAGAACATCGAAAAGACGAGAGGCATTCATCCTGGATCGTCTTGTACCAAGACCCCCGCCCAGCTCTGCGTTCTGCATCACATCTCTCCGTGTCTGCGACATATACACGTACACATATTCCGTGTACTCTCGAGCCGCAAGACGTGTCTTGGCCCTCTCTGATGCTCGCTGTTTTGCTCACATCCATAACCCCAGAAGCAGCAGACCCCTGAACCCGACCTGGGGGAAGGGAATCCGCGCGGCCGAGAGAGATAGGCAGAAGGAGATCCATCATCTTCGGCGCTTTCTTCTGCTCCATATTAACACTCGCGAGCCGTTCACGGTCCTCATGCTCTTCTTCTCTTCACTCTCACTCTCACTGCCGTCGTTCCGTTCCTCGCCTAATACTGCTGCATCTGCCCTTTGCATACCGTTTCCTGGCCTGAACATTACATCCCCGCCATCAACCGCGGAGAAAGAAGACGGGTGCGCACCATCCACCACACAAACTCCCGACATCACACACTCGACTCGACGCAACAGCATTCTACTTCGTCTTTTCATCCCTTTGCGTCCATCTCATCTGGATTACAAGGACACACAATACACAGTAGACACAACACACAACACATGCACACACACATACAACCAGCAGACGATACATGGACACATCCGAAAAGAGAACAGGAGGAACTCTGTTGTGTTAGGCACAGAAGAAGGTACATGCTCTCGGTCTCTACCCACACCTCCCCCGGCCGGGATTCCTGCAGATGTAAACGAACGGACCAAGCCTCACCCCCTCCCTCGTCCTTGTCCTTGTCCTCATCGGCGAGAGGTACATCCATTGCCATTACCTACAGCAAAGTAGGTACCTACAAGACATAGCCACCAACCAAACCAACGGCCAAGGCCTGGAAGAGGGTACCTCCTAGCACACACACTGCCTACCTTACCTACAACAACTGGAGACACCCACTGGAGACACCCACTGGACATACACACACACACAAAGACTACTTAGTACACACGCTACACACACCTCGGCCATCTTGCGCTAGTCAAGTCAATCTGGGCCACTGCCGCTCAGTCTTTCCCTCCATCCATCCATCCATCCATCCAGCTTCTCTACCTACTCTGGCTCGACTTACCTCACCTTGCTCCATCCAGAACGCCAAAGCTTGTGACTTTTGATTTTTCTCCCTCCCACTGCACTTCGCATCTCGACTCGACTTTTCGCTCACTAAAACCAACCAACCAACCAACCATCTCTTCTCCGCTTCTCACCGACAACCGACATCGCGCGCACCGCACCCCATCCGCCCCCTGTGAGTGAATCTGTGTCGCTCTCCGATCGCGCCCCCGACGACGACGAAGACGAAGACTTCGACGACCACAGCAGCGACGGCATTGAAAGGAAGGAATCTCATCGCTTGCGCATCGCATTTCATCGACAAGCCGCATCTGGCATCTCATCACCACCCGGCGACGACGTCTCTCACGCAACGGGATCAGTGTTCCCAATCAGTCACCCGCCATTGAGCCAGCAGCCCGTCCTTCAATCAGCAAGCAGCACAGCGGATCATTCTCGCCGCTCATTCGTACATCGGCCCCCCGCTCGCGCGCGCGCATCCGCTTTCTCTCTCTCTCTCACGCACACGCACACGCACACTCACTCTCATCGTGAGTGACCCGACGACAGCGACATCGCCGACGACGACCATCACGACGACGACAGCGACGAGTCAGAGTCTCTCGCTCTCTCTTCTTCCGACGGCAAACTCACCTCTCAGCATCCACCAAGTTAATGCCCGCATCGCCCTCCACGTCGCCCAAGCCGTAGGGTGTCCCCAGCCCTCGTTGAATCCCCCCACCGTCTCTACTCACCAGAGACGGGCCTTTCGGTAGCCCTGGAGGCATACGACGCCTCTGCAGGCGTCCTCGTGCCAGGCTTTGGCCTTGGTCCGGCGGTGCTGCACCCCTTTGAGCATCATCCGCCCCTCGACTTTGTCCACGACCCGTACCTCGACGGCGCCCAGGACATTGACGACAACGACGACCAGGTCTCTTCTCTCTCCTTTGGCTTCTCCTCCGACTTCACCACCGACTTTAGCCTCGGCAACGAAGTAGTAGCACCACTCCACCAGCAGCAACAGCAGCAGCAGCAGCAGTCTTCTTATCTCAAGCACCACCACCAAGACCACCAAACCCATCAGTACTCTTCCCATCACCACCACCAAACATACGACACCATGAATTTGCCCAGCTCCCACATCCCGCCCCGCCGCAGCGCGAGCATCCACTCCCTCACCCCCTCGCGCGACCTCATCGTCGCCGCAAAGTCCCCCGAGAAATCCGCCGCCGCCGCCGCCGCGACCGCCACAAAGTCCAAACGAGTACGGACGGGCTGTCTAACGTGTAGGGAACGGCATCTAAAATGTGACGAAGGCTTACCAGACTGTCTAAATTGTCGCAAGAGCAATCGAGAATGCAAACGCGGCGTGCGGCTCAACTTCATAGACGTCCAGGTCAAGAAACCGCCCTACATGCCTCCCACCGTCGAGTGGTCGGGTAAGTCCGGAGCCCCCATCTTATCTCACTCACCCAATAGCCGATCCCCTCACCTCACTCATGTGAGGTGGTGTGAGGAAATCGTAAGCATCATGGCAGACACAGGCTGACGCGAATGAACCACAGTACAATTCCAGGATGAGTCAAGACAAATCGCCTCAGAATACGTCGGCGGACTCGGCCGGTACGCACACCTCGACAAGGTCGCCGTCGCCGCCGCCCCCCGGCCTGAGCCGAGCCATCTAGAGCAGACCCTCCGGCACCAGGGCCACCTCCTCCCCCACGCCCGCGCCGCCCCGGGCCCGGACGCCTCCGTGTCTCCTCGGACTCACCTTCAACACCACCCGCCGCCGCCGCCGCCGCAGCTGCCGCCCTCCTACGCCTCCTACCCGCCACACGTTGCCCATCGACCCCCGGAGCCCCCTCGCGCCGCAGACTACCCTCCTCACCGCCGCGAGAGCGAGTCCGCCACCGCCTACCTCACCCCCCAGAACTCGGCGCACCCTGGCCCTCACCCGTACGCCGGCTACGAGCACTTCGCCGCCCTCCGCGACAACGCCCACCACTCCCACTCTCACCACCACTCCCACTCCCGCTCCCACACCCACCGCGACAGCGACGCCTCCTCCGCCGCCTCCATCGTCCCACAACCAACCGCCCCGCCGCCGTCCTACCGGCACAGCGCTGCCGCCGGCCCCGGGGCCGCCAACGGCGCCAACGCCCTCGCACCCGACGGCATGATGACGCCTCCCCCCAGCGAGAAGGCCACCGCCGGCGAGCGCGAGTACCTCAACTCGCCCGAGGAGATCCTCTACATGCAGGTCTTCGTCGAGGAGGTCGGCGTCTGGATGGACTCCCTCGACAAGGAGAAGCACTTCTCCCGCCTCATCCCCTACCATGCCCTCAAGTCGCCCATGCTGCTCAACGCCTTCCTCGCCTGCGGCGTCAAGCACCTCACCCTCGTCAACCCGGCCTACCAGGACGACAAGGCCCTCTTCTACTACGACACCGCCACCACCCAGCTGCTGCGCTCGCTGCAGAACCCCGACCGCAACACCGGCGAGTGCGCCACCACCGCCGTCGTCCTCAACGTCTACGAGATCATGTCCGAGAAGCCCGCCCAGCGCATGAACCACATCGCCGGCGCCCGCGCCCTCATCCGCGAGTGCAAGTGGGACGCGCGCTCCAGCGGCATCGGCGCCGCGTGCTTCTGGCTCAACATCGGCATGGAGGTGCTTTCCTGCCTGGCCTTCAACTGGCAGACGTCGTGGGACCCGGACTCTTGGGGGCTGGACATGGACTTTGCCGCCGAGAGCAACGGTGCCGGTGCTGCGACTGCTGCCGCGGCGGCATCAGGAGATGGCTTCGGGTCGGAGGAGCTGTGGGTGCATCGCATCCTGTACATCGTGGCCAAGATCGCCAACTTCCGCGCCACGATCCCGCGCTTCCAGGAGCCGAGCCCGCACGACGAGCAGATCCGCCTCGGCAACCGGCTCGCGCAGTGGCAGGACCTCAAGCGGCTGTGCGACAAGTGGAACAACGCGTGCCCGCGCACGATGCACCCCTTCGGCTACCTCTACCCCTCGCAGACAAACTCCAAGTCTGCCTTCCCCAACGTCTGGTGCGTCTTCCTCACCCTCCCTCCGCTAACTATCCCGTGTACTAACACCATCTCCCCGCAGGCTCATCAAACGCGCCGCCATCATCGGCCGCCTCTTCTACCACACCGCCCAATGCCTCCTCGCGCAGACCAACCCCATGGAACCCGGCAAGGCCTCCGAGGAAATGCGCGCTCTGCAGCTGCACCACGCGCACCAGGTCTGCGGCATCGTCGCGCACACAAAGGACCGCGGCGTCGCCTCCGTCGCCATCCGCTCCCTCGCCATCGCCTCCGCCGTGCTCACCGACCCGCGCGAGCAGGAGGAGGTCCTCGAGATCCTCGACAAGATCCACACCGCCTCCGGCTGGCGCCTCGGCAAGATCCACTCCGAGCTGAAGAAGTCGTGGGGCTGGCCCTCGCCCGCGGGCGGGAACACGCCCGTCATGGCGCATCCGGACCCAAGAGGAGGAAGCAGCGGCGGCGGCGGGAAGTACTACGCGAGCAGCACGAGCGGCGGCGCACCGCCTGCGATGACGGCGGCGAGCAGCCAGCCGCCCGCGGCGCCGATGAAGGCGCTCGTGAACCCGCTCAGCTTCGCGGATTTCTCGCTGCCGAATCACCCGTACCAGAACTGGTACGAGCCGCCGAATAGGTCCAACTCGTACAGCTCGCAGACTTTCCTCTGATTGGGGTTATCCTTTTCTTGCTTATCTTTCTCTTCCAGCCCATCTTTATTTACAAAAGGCACCGACCCAACCTCACCCCAGGGCGTGTCTAACCCTTTTATATCTACATAATCTTCTCAGAGAGCGACGCGGAAAAGACGAGCGGGATCTTCACATTTCAACCTGCGGATGACAAGTACACTACACTACAAAAAACGGCACTGGATGCCTGGTTCATGATCACGGCCGAACCCTACCACACATTTTTTATCTTCAACCGCTCGTCTTTTCCCGGCCTCTCTGTTACTCAATTCCATCTTCTACATCTCCATACAGGCTTTTTTTCTTGTTTTACAAAGGCGGGGGATACGGCTTTACAGGACGGCCGGCATCATTGCGGCAAAAAGGGGGGCGGTGTGGATGAGATTTCTTATCTCCTACGGGGTGACTCCTGAAAGGGATCACCCGAACGTAGCATCTGGCGTTCCGGCAAACTGGACAAACGGGGAGGAAGGACATGCCTTTCGAGAGCGAGCTGTGGATTTTCGCTCCGGCATACTAGGGATGGGGAGGGAGGAGGACAATGCTTCCAAAGGGGGCATCGATACCATCAGGATTCGTTTTCGTGTCATCAACTTCGAATGACACAAGGGACTTTTGGGGGCTGTTTTTGTTTGCTACTGTCCTTTTCACGAAAATTCCGGCACCAAGCAGAAAGGGTCTTTGTTTTGTATGCATATATTTTGTGGTATCATTCGGATGCGGGGAGGCTTGGTTCTTTCTTCTCGTGCCTGCTTTCTCTAATCCACTGGGAGAATTCTATCGCGATGCCAAATGCTTTTTTCGTTCTTGACCGTGATCAAATAAGCCAAGTCTATGAAGAAAATAAAAGTGGTTCCCTTTCCCATAATCCTCTTGTCTATTGAAATCCCATGCCAGCCAGACCTTCTGTCTTTCATTCGCCTATTATCATCGTAATCCATGCCCTGTCTAATGCCGTTTTCTCGTAAAAAAAAAAGCTTGCTCAGAAAGGAAAGAAGTAGGAAAAAGTCGAGCCAGGACGGCGGTGACCCAAGCCTGCCCATGTTGTTGCTATGTCAAGCCAGATCTTGCCAAAATCCTGGTGTCGTCGTTTGGATGAAGAATGCCGCGCAAAGTGAATCAGGCAGAGCCGTTGGCCTTGTCGACGAGGACCTCGCCGACGTTCTCCTTCATGAAGGGCTCGTCGTCGACCTCGACGGGGGGGACGGTGATGCCGAACTTGTCGTAGGGGAAGTTCTCGAGGGTGTCCATGTACTCGGCCCAGCCGTCGTCGACCTCGCCGACCTGGTGCATGTCGACGTGGCCGGCCTCGCCGGTGCGGCCGGCGAGGACGTCCTTCTCGCGGCCCTTGTACTCGTTGAGGAGCATCTTGTGGGGGCACCAGACGACGCGCATGCCGGCGCGGCGGCCGGCCTCGACGCCGGGGACGGAGTCCTCGAAGACGAGGCACTCCTCGGGGGCGATGGGCTTCTCGCCGGCGGGGAGGGAGTCGTTGATGGTCTTGAGGGCGAGGAGGAAGATGTCCGGGTTGGGCTTGCCGCGGCCGGGAGCGATGCGCTTGTCGTCGCCGAGGACGCGGCGGTGGGAGGGGAAGATGGAGAAGAGCTCGGTGAGGTGGTCGGACTTGAGCTTGAAGTTGGCGAGGTGGGAGGAGGTGGCGAGGGCGATGTGGACGCGGTGGGGGTTCTCCTTGTCGGCGCCGTTACCGTTGCCGTTGGAGGCGGAGGCGGGCTTGAGGTCCCAGTAGCGGGTGCGGCCGAGGTTGGCGAGCAGGGCCGGGACGCCGGGGAGGGGCTTGGTGGTGGGGAAGATCTGGCGCTGGAGGGCGGAGAGCTGCTGGTGGTACTCCTGCTCGGAGATGGAGAGCTGAGCCCACTCGTGGAAGAGGCGGGTGGCGTCGGGGCCGGGGCGGCCCTGGAGCTTGGCCTTGATGGACCAGGGGAGGAGGGGGCGGCCCTGCTGCTCGAGGATGATGTTGATGCAGGCCGTGTAGAGGTCCTCGGTGTCAAGGAGGAGGCCGTCCATGTCGAAGAGGCAGGCCCGGATGGGAGGGAAGCTGGAGGTGAACAAGACGTCAGCCATTGCCATTGTCGCGAATCGCAAAGGATGGGCAGGGGAGGAGCGCGCGCAGGAAGGAGATGGGACTTACTCAGTGCGGGGAGCCATTGTGACGGTTGAGGAAGGCTTTTGTGAATGTGAAGGTATGTGAAGGTACAGAGAAGAGGTGGAGGAGGTGCAATTGGGTTGCTCGAGGTGGAAGATGGAAGGTGGATTGTTGTCGCGCGAAAGGAAGTTGTTGGTGATGGAGGGGTAGGAGCAGGAAGAAGTTGTGGTGGGTTTGGGTTGGAGGTGGGGGTTTTTGTAGTGGAAGAAGGTGAGGTGAGGCTGGATAAAAAAAAATCTGAAAAGGCCGTTTGTTTGGTTCTTCCTCAGGGAAAGGGCGCAACGGTGAATTGAGGAAGGCAGGCACCGGGGAACAATGAAGAGTCACAAAGGCAGGTGCGGGTGCAGGTCAGGTCCAGGGCCGGCAGGAAGGAACAGCGGGGTGAAGACGGGGACGGAAGGCACCGACAATGGAGGATGGAGGGGTCAATTGGATCCAGCCCACCCAGCTCTTTCCCAAAAAAAAAATAATGAATCGCCAAAGGGACCAAAGTGGGGCAGATGGATGCAGATCAAGCAACTGCGCTGTGTCACTTTGCTCTTACTTTGATTATTTGGAGATATTTATTTATGATCCCCCTGCATCATTCTTATAAAAACTCAAAAATAGAGTCAATTGTGTTCAACATGTTGAAATTGAAAAAAAAAAAAACTGCAAAAAGACAGCACTATTATTGATTTCTCATGAGAGACACAGTCTTTGCGCCGGCGCACACTGTCCACCTGCCACCATCTGGCGACTTCATTCGCTGAAAGATGCCGCGAGACAGCGGGTACGGCGCCCCTCCCTCCAAAGGCTGAGCTGCTGAGATTCCAGAAGGGCCGCTGACAGAGGGGTCGATTTTAGTGGCTGATTACGCCCCAAAACATGTGAACAGCCTCAGTGTGCCCCCCACTGGTTCCAACGTCCAACGCCCCATTCCACGTGGAGATCCGGCGAGACAGTGACGACATTTCCACCGTCTTCTTTCTGTCGCTGGACTCCGCCTAAAACCCGACCTCATAGCTCACGCAGCATTTTCACCCTCAAGAGCCAGCCACACGGGTGATAATACTCCAGGATGCCGCCGAAGGAAGCTGAGGCCAAGGCCCAGGACAAGGGCAAGACGGTCGAAAAGGAGGACGAACAGGAAAAGATTGAGAAGTTCTCACCTGAAGAAGAAGCGGTAAGCTTCTCACACACATCCAACCTCGTGAACATCTAAGCTAACACCCCCAAGTCCCTCCTCACCGAGGCCAACGCAAACAAGGCGGAAGCCAACGCCCTCTTCGCCTCCTCAAAATACGAGGCCGCCATCAACAAGTACGACGAGGCCGTCGCCGTCTGCCCCAACTACCTCGACTACGACCTCGCCGTCCTGCGCTCCAACATCTCCGCCTGCCACCTCAAGCTCGAGCAGTGGAAGGACGCCATCTCCAGCGCCACCGCCGCTCTCGACGGCCTCGACAGGATCGAGAGGGAAGCCGCCCTCGAGCAGGAGCGCCGCGAGAAGGAACGCGCCGAGGAGGAGGACGTTGAGGAGGAGATTGTCAGTTCCGGCGCGAGCAAAGCCGCCCCTGCGCCGGTGGGGTCCGACGACCCCGAGGAGGCGGCGAGGAAGAAGCGCCAGGAGGATGTGCTGCGGATCCGGGCCAAGGCGCTGATGAGGAGAGCGCGGGCACACAGCGAGGAGGGCGGGTGGCAGAACCTGGCGGGCGCTGAGGAAGATTACAAGGCGCTTTCCAAGATGACAAATCTGGCGCCCGCGGATCGGAAGATTGTGCAGACGCAGTTGAGGGTGCTGCCGCCGAGGACGAAGGCTGCACAGGAGAAGGAGACGGCGGAGATGTGGGGGAAGCTCAAGGACGTAAGTGTTGATGACTCTGGGTGGTAAACGAGGCTAACCGGGATGTAGTTGGGTAACGGCATCCTCAAGCCGTTTGGGCTCAGCACCGACAACTTTCAAATGGTCAAGGACGAGGCTACTGGCGGCTACAGCATGAACTTCAACCAGGGCAAATGAACTCTTGCATAGGTGTTGGTGGGGTTTAGAAGGTAACGTCAGGGCGCCGATGTGGTTGTCCCATATGCTCCTAATGTCTAGAATAGCATGTACCTTCTGCAAATCCGAGAGATCAAATCTTACGCAGTATCAGACTGGATGTAACTAACATATTACAGCCTTGTGTCAATAAGTCATGCGCAAATGGAGGTGTAGCTGTAATCGTAGATCCGGAATCTCTTGGCCTGAGTACCAGTGAGATTCATGAGGGTTTCCGTGATCCGTCCCGTACAACAGAACGTGGTCCAGGGAGCCTAGATATTTATACTGGCCGACACGGAGCGATCCGACAGCTGCTTTGCCAATGATCTTCCATGGAATTGCGATGATTCTTAAGTCTGTCATTTATAGCTACTTCTGTTTCCTCTGCCGTTGATCTGACAGGTGCCAGCGCTCGATGAATGCACAGGATGACATTAGTATTCCATCAATACCTCGGAAATGACGGATATGGACAGCAAAGAGAAGACAGCATCAAGTTTCCAACAACTTGCAAGCCGTCATCTTGCAAGTTTTGTAGGCGTAGATATTTGCCAATGATACTTGCCGCTTGCACGCAATAAACATGTCGTTGAGCGACTCTCCAATCGCTCTGCATGGAAGCCCGTTTGATTCCCACGCCAACCCCCCTTTTATACATCATCCAACCATACTTTGCGTGCCTTAACGATGCTCGCTTTGAGAGTGTGCCTCGTTCAAAAAACACCGACCCAACTCCGGTTTTCATTTCAATTGCTCGTCCCGAGGGCTATTCCAGTCAATACGGGCGGTCGTTCGTTTTTAGTTTGGAACACGGCAATGTAATGTGTCGAATGATTTGGTTCTGCAAAAATGCTCCTCTCTTCGTTCGCTTGAAAACACCTTAATATCGATGTCATGGCACTCTCTTCTGAGGTCACATGAATTTTTTCGCAGACGACCTTGTCTGTCTCTTCCTGTATGTTATTCAATTGAACTACACCAGCAGCCATAGTATGTAGTGATGAATCCGTTTTGAGGCCTTTGAGCCCAAACATGGCTGTCTTGTTATTCCAGGGTTTCCCAAGCAAGCTTGGCATTCTGACTATAAAACAAGGCCTTCAAGATGTGGTGCAGTCTTTCGTATGCGCAAATGTCTCGAAGGGCTCTTGTTTTGTCCAACGGACATTGTTTCGGAATATCCGTTGGGTACCAAGTTGCTTAGGTTTGCTATCACCTCGGGCGACACTTAAGCTTGGCTGCACGGGAATTCATACTTCGACACGTAACTCTGCTTGAATACTCGGGAGGTTGAAGAAAGAGACCGAAGATGATGGGCACGAAGTCTAAGAACGGATATTGGGCCGCATGAGCAACGTTGGCGGCTGGGCTGGGCAACTCGTGCGACTAATGTTCCTGCCGAGACTGTAGTTCTGAGACGAACTAATGACGATGAAATCGTCGCTAAAGTATCAACGCCGAAAACGGTTTCAGCAATGCTACCCTTTCGTATTGGATTGTAATGATTGACCACGTTTTATGCCCGCGCCACATGATGGAACAGATCCGTCTCATACGGCAGATAAATAGCATCGTATTCAATGAGAGGAAAGCCCTTATAACACGATTGTCGATCTTGATGACTCCAGCTTCATGCCGTTAGACAGGTCTTATCTACCCGGAGCCACGAATGAACATATCAAGATACAATACGAGATATATTCATATATCTCGTATTGTATCTGGATATGTTCACATCTTTTTCCATCGCTCCCTCCCTCCGGAGTATTACTTGATGATACCTTGTAAACGACAATAGCGTATCTTTAATTGACTGTGATTCACTCATGAAATACCTAGTGTCAATTATCCTTTGTTAATAATAGAGGTAAATGAAATTCATCATTTCGTTAAGCCAGAACTCCCAATCGCTTTCTTGCTCTGATTTGTTGCGAAAAGTCGAAGAGTAGACGACACAGTAGATTTGTTCGTTTATTTAAACATCTCTTAACGGAAACCGCCTGAACTGTTTTCTTTTATGGAGAAGATGTCGAGTTGTAGGGCTGTAACAAGTTCCAAGAGCTGGAGTTCAAGCTTTCTCAACATCAGCTGCAATAACTGTAATTCTCCTTGGAACACTAATTGCCTTACTGCATTAAGTATGAGTCCTGACCTTCAATGATCGGATCGTCCAGTTCTCAATGCGTTGGTTGCGGAACGCGTTCACGGACATCCAAAAAGACTTGCCTCAAACATGAAATAATCATTCTTATCATCTCCTATCCTCAACACCCACGACAGTTTCAGAGTAATACTTCAAACAAGTTGACAAGGGGCACGCAGGAAATTGACCACTGAGGCAAGAAAAGCCGACATCTGTCAGCTGTCATTCTACATGTCTTGCGAAGATAAACGTTCCTCTCGCGGGTCAGCGGTGGACGAAGAATTCCATTCGTGTTTTCCTGTGTGCAAATGACGCCTGTCTTTTGCGTCTTAATTATACTAGGCTCGAATATCGGCTTGATTGCAGGCTACACCCAATAGTGATGATAGGCATAACACACAATGTCTGTTTTATGTCTACGCTGGCTCCAAGCAATGACAATCGCACGAGCATGTTTTGTTGCCACACCCCTCTCAATATGTCCAATGAATTCGAAATGTCTCGTCATCAAGTTGAAATCCGTAGGGCCAGTCTCAGACTCGAGCACGGCACATCCCTCCGCCTTAATTTGAGAAGTCAGCTCGTCCAGGATATCTAGTCCCTCTAGCCGGGGATCAGTATCGTTAATGTCAAAATTGAACATCACTTTAGCAGGCGTGTTCCTAATCGAAGACACGAATCTTGAATTTGAAATTCTTACCCATCTGGTTAACTCGTTGCCCTTGTTACCATGATGCGTTCCCCCACATGGCAAATACCACTACGGCAATCCTCGGTTCTCCTTAGTTACGTTTTATTGGGCTACAATACGTCAGTGACCTTTCCCCATGTAGCTTCAAGAGTGATGGACTTCAAACCCTGTTCTTCATTTCACAAGGGCTCCCCTTTCCTCTGTCATTAGCTGACAGGCCGCCGCCTGTCACAGGCGCTCACGTCCATGCTCAAACTAATCTTGCTGAATATTGACCAGGAGACACTGGATGCCATTTTCATGAAAGCACAAACTTATTAAGATAGCGAAGTTGTGAGAGTGCAGAGTTTCTCGATATATACACGCTTTTGCCAGCATATCTTTACTACTAAGTACAAACGGGCAAATGCCAGTGATTTCATGCATCCCAGTATAGATGATTTAAGTGGTAATTGTAATGATACCTCCTGAATAAAGGAGAGACAGTGATAAATAGGCAGGTTGAATGGATAAACGCAGGCCTCACGATGGGCGTTCGACGCTCAAATGCACTGAAAGAAAATTTAAATTGCTAGGTAGCCAAGTTGTTTCACAGAAACCGTCGGAGCATACAGCTCGCTCATTGATCAGTCTTTTGCTATTGTTGCCAAACATGTTATATTTTGAGACCAGGGCCACCCGCGTCTCACCTTTACAAACCTACTTAAGAGTCGTAAGACTTTGTCGGTTATCTCAGTCCGTTCGCGCCAGTGTTTATCGTAGTAATCATTATGGACAAAACATTACGAGGCTCTTCCACAATTAGCACGACGTGACAGTGTGAGACCCTGAATTTCCTAACTAACAGCCTTCCAGGGTTATTTGATTACCGTTAAACTATCTTCCCCTGTGATTACAGCCGAATACCTGAGAGATTAAAAAGACAGTTGCTTCGAAGTCCAGCCACTTTTCCGAACTCGAAAGTCAGATGCTTGGTCAAATCTCACTTCGCAACGAATGTATGGCAATCATTACAAGCCAGTCTTCTCGCAAGATTTAGACACGCGATGAAAGATTCTCAACGCTTTATTGAATCATGATACATAAAGACCTCAATGCCTGGCTGCCTCAGCAATACTACACATAGACCACATTGCTTTATAACTGTATGCTCTCACTAAGTGGGAAACAAACAATAAGTGTCCGTTGATGCGGTTCAAGGCTGTTTTGGTTTGCTTTCTGGCTAAGATAGGTATCATCAGTACGACGTTTACGTCCAAACTTCTCCAGAAATGGACATCCTCTGATACTGTAGCTTTTGCAACTTTCGAGGTGAACTGCGTTGATGCAATCGCTTGTCCAGCTCGTTGAGTATCTGACTGTCCCAGCCATCTGTCGTGTTTAGAAACGACACTCTGTTCATCATCTAACAGTACAATGAGATCTTGATTATGAGACGTGCCAGACATAAAGGATGGTTCATCTATCTCGCCATAGAGCCCTTGTACAAGGCCACATGAGCTATGTTGAAGCCTTCCTGCACAGCCATGTGCCACTGCATGTTCACGTTACGTTTAATAAAACTTTCCTCTTCGTCATTTCCTCCTTTGGCAGCTTATTACTTGTGGTTTATTGATTCTATGGCCCTTTTCCCAGTAATATTGATTAAATGACCTGCTTGCGTTTGAAAGAAAGAGTATCATCTGGCCACCTTTGCTTCTGACTTTTCATATATTTCACTTTCGCAAACTCATAGAGGCTATGTTCATTGGGTTCTGAGGGAAAGAGAAAACTATTTACATTCTCAACAGCATCTGCTCTTTATACCACGACTTCCATCATACCAGACTAGGACAGCAGAGCAAACTCCTCATATGACACCCAAAAGCGTTGAGTCACGAGCGTAGCCGTCTTTCCCCCGTACACAGAGCATCTTTTCAACGTCTTCTATACATGGCTTAGACAACCACAGGCTATTTCTCTCGTACCATCCAACGAGATCTCTCGCGTCAAACCACAATATTCATCTTCATGATCTTCCACTTCCCCATCCCCAAACCAAACATCTCAATACATCGCCCACCCCCCACTAGCGCTCACAACCTGCCCACTAACCCACGCCGCCTCCTCGCTCGCCAACCATCCCACGATCCTCGCCACCTCCTCCACGCTGCCCAACCTGCCCTCCACCGGCGTCTGCGCCATCTGCGTCTCCACAATCTCCCTCGGAATATTCTCCAGCATATCGCTCTGCACCGGCCCAGGCGCTACACAACTCACCGTCGTGCCGTTGCCCCCTACCTCCCGTGCCCAGCACCGCGTCAGTCCCTCCAGCGCCGCCTTCGACGAGCAGTACAGCCCCAGCCCCGCGAACCCCGCGCGCGCCCCGACGGAGGAGATGTTGATGATGCGCGCGCGGGGGTTGAGGTGCGGCAGCAGGGCTTGCGTGAGCAGGAGGGGCGCGCGGACGTTGAGGTCGTAGACGGCGGCGAAGTCGGACGGCGTGATGGAGCCGAGGGGGGCGTTGAGTTCGGTGCCGGCGTTGTTGACGAGGATGTCGAGTTTGCCCGAGGCCGCGGGCCAGGCGGCGAGCGCGGCGAGTACAGCGGACGGGGCGGAGGGGAGGGAGAGGTCTGCTTGGCAGGATGTGGCGGGGGGAGAGTGTGGGAGGGATGCGATTTGGGCGAGGAGGGCGGTGACTTTGGGGGTGCTGAAGTCGGAGGTGTAGAGGAGCATTACCTGGTGTTTTGTGAGTGAGGGTGAGGAAAGGGGGAAGATGAGATGGAAGCTTACAGATGCGCCTTTATGGGCTAGTTCGAGAGCCATGCCGGCTCCAAGACCGCGGGAGGCGCCAGTGACGATTGCTACTTTGCTTTTGAGGGACATTGTTGTGGTGTTTAGATGGTATGGTGCAAGACTGAGTTGAGAAGATGAGATTGTTTCATGTCCTATGACTACTATGCTAAAGGCTACATTTATATAAGGAATCTGCGAACGAATTAAGGCAGAGGATGTATTTTGTCTTACGGTAACTCACTGCTCTCATGCATGGTCATACACGACTTACATCGTGACGGACGTCTCGTCGGCGATCCGGGGTGAGATAACTAAACGCCGACGGGCGACTCTTAACGCCTATGCTGATCCGCGTCGGCGATTTTGCAGACTTCCGTACCGTTATAACTGTAGAGGGGGTGGCTTGCGAACGACTGGGAATGTGATCCTTCAAGTGTCAAGATGTACCGTCTGACGTCAGTGATAGCTTCATCGCAAAGAGCTGCAAGATCAGAATCACAGTCCAAGAACCAAACTCGCAAGAACTCAAATCTTGTTGGGTATATTTTGCACCTTCTAACCTTTTCATCTCTCCCCTCTACGCCCCCTCAGCAGTCGCCTTGGCAGCCTCCTTCTCCTGCGCCTTCTTCGCCTTCTTCTCCTCAATCTGCTTCTGCTTCTCGAGCTTCTTGAGCTGGTTCTTGGTCATCTTGCCGTCGCCGCCTTCCGCGGGCGCACCAGCACCTTCCGCAGGGCGGACCGGCAAGCTCTTGAGGCTCTCAGCCCCGGCCCAGACCAGCGGGCGCCGCGCCATGAAGAGGTCGACCGTGTCCTCGTTGACCTTGGCGCGGCGCTCCTGGAAGGCGGTGCAGTACTTGGCCAGCTCCTCGGCGCAGCGCTTCTTGATCTCGCCCGTGAGCATCTTGCCGGTGCGGTAGTCCTCGCGGATCTGGGCGAGCTCGGCGTCGTCTTCGAGGAAGAAGCGGAGGTATTGGTAGGAGACGTCGACTGCGGTTTCTGTTAGACATGCGACTGCGCAAAGGGGGAGAATTAGGACAAACCATCGGGGTCGGCGCCCTCGGCACGTTGCTCCTCAGCCGTGACCTTGCCACCGCTGAAGGCGTACTTGTTCATCTTGTTCTGGATCTGCTTGGGCGTGTCCTTCATGAAGATGGCGCTGCTCTCGATCGACGCGGACATCTTGGACCCGGGGCCCTGCAGGGCGTCGAGGAAGCGCGAGTGCACGAGCGAGGGCTTGGCGTAGCGCAGGCCGGCGGCGCAGTCTCTGGTGACGCGGAAGTAGGGGTCCTGGTCGATGGCGCAGGGGATCAGGCAGGGGATCTGGGTGGTGCGCGCCTCGTCGTCGCCGAAGATGTGGGGGAAGGAGTTGGCGAAGGAGGAGGAGGCCTGGATGGAGGCGAAGTGGACCTTGCCGATGTTGGAGGAGTCGTCGAAGCCGAAGACGGCCTTTGCGGTGTTGACGGTGATGCGCTTGGCGACGCGGGTGATGTTCTTGTAGAAGGCGCCGCCCATGTAGTCGTAGTCGGAGAAGATGAAGGTGCGCTCGGGGTTGAAGCCGATGGCGATGCTGTTGCTATTAGTGTCCGTCCGAGAAGGAGTGTAGCTGTTTCGTCTCACATGTCCTTGGCGTTCTCTCTCGTGTAGTGCATAACCTCCTCGACTGTCCTCTTCTCAGAGAACAGGAACTTCTCGTCTGCGTATGGAGTTAGACCACTTCCCTCATGAGCCAATTAGCTTCATACCATCAGTCATCATAATCTGCCTCACGTCAGTAACAAATTCCAAACCTCAGTCATAGGGGTAAAACATACCACCAGCGGCGCATCAAGAACATCCGACAACCACTTCGTCAACTGGAAGGGGATAACGTGTCCAATGTGCATGCTGTCGGAACTCGGTCCACGGCCTACCGCCTCGTCAGCAGTCAACCCCTCCCCATATCTGCCTCCCAAGCCTCCTGCGAGTTCCAAACGCACCAGTGTAGATAAAGAAAGGCTCCTTCTTCTCGTAGCGGTCGAGGATGAGGTCGAGGTCGCGGTGGGAAAAGACAATCTGCCGGCGCAGGAAGTGGTGCGGCTTGTGTCCGGTGACGCGCTCGAAGCGCTCGAGGAGGGCGTCGTCAATCAGTTTCGTGCCGAACTCGTCGACGATTTTCTGTCGCGTGGCCCCTTGTTAGCTGGCTGGCTTCAAACATTCTAGACAGCAGACGGTTGCACAACTCCCCCAATGATGCAACAGAGAGCATACAACGCCCAATCGGCAGACTCCCTCCAGCGTTATTGCATACCTTGTAGTCAATCGCCTTGACCTTTCCATCCTCGCCCACCTCGCCAGACACGTTCCAAGGATCGACCTTCTGTCCGCCGGTGCTGGCGGCGGCAGGCTCCACGGCCTCGACGGGGACCGCGGCGGTCGGCGCTTCGGGTGCGGAGGCCATTGTTGTTTCTGCAGTAGTGCCCAATCGCTTCGTGAACGTTCGGAATCGAGGATTCGTGGTCGTCGGGGGCGGAGGGTGGAGGGTGCGGCGTGGTCGAATTATGGCCAAATTTACCCAAAAAAGTGAGTCAATGGAGGGGTTCCGTTGACTCCTCCACTCAGTTGCGGCTAAAGTGGCACTGTGCAGTGTGGGATCGGTGTGGGCTTCCCCGCTACCCCGCATACACCGAAGAATGCTGGTAAGGATCTCGGTGAGCGTTTGGTGAAGGGGTCGGCTTCGTTGTAAGTAAGCCTGGAACTAAAATAGTTTGCGATCCTTCCGGGTCGGAGCCTTTTTCCGTCTTGCATATTTTGTCATCTCTTTGGGTTTTTTAGTACAAAGACACGACGGATCTTATTTGCGTCCAGCTTATTCAACAACAAATCATCTCATCACAATCTGATTTGTGAAGGGCGCGATATGCAGGCGACGGTTGGTATGGTATTAGTGTGTATTTAAAGAGCCCAGAAGTTGCAACGATATGAGATATATGGCTATGTTAAATACCAGATCACAGCTCATCGAAGTGCCCTTACCAATCCAAAGTCGAAGTTAAAGTTACCGCCAAAATGCCCAGCCCCAAAATCACCCTCTACCGCACCAACGGCGCCTGCTCCCTCGTCCCGCACAGCATCCTCGCCCACTTCGCCATCCCCTTTAATGCAGTCGAGATGGAGCCCACGCCAGACGGCACCGACGGCATCGGGGGCCGCTACCGAGCCGCCGACGGCTCGCTGACCCATGAAGAGTACCGCCGCATCAACCCGACGGGCTACGTCCCGTGTCTCGTCGTCACCGACAACATCACAGAGATGCCCGACGGCGGCGTTGACAAAACAGTCATCACAGAGATGCCCGCCGCACTGACCTACATCGCCTCCCTCGTCCCAGACCAGAATCTCTTCGGCAGGACGGCGGTGCAGCGGGCCAAGGCGTACGAGTGGGTGTGCTGGCTGTCGGGGACGCTGCATAGCTTGGGTTACGCTGGTGTACTGCGGCCTGAGAGGTTTGTACATGGGAAGGAGGCGAAGACTGAAGTTGTGAAGAAAGGACAGGAGGTTATTGATGGTTGTTATGCGAGGATTGATGAGAGATTGGCGGGGAGGGAGTTCGCTGTTGGTGACGTGTTGACTGTTGTGGACTTCAACCTATACATCTTCTACCGATGGGGATGTAAAGCTGGGACTGAGATGGGCCGATTATACTCCAATTATGAGAGGATCGCTCGGATGGTGGAGGGTCTTGATGGAGTGGCAAAGGTCGTTCATGTTGAGAAGCAGCAGTTGGTCTTCCAAAATTGAGGACGAGGTCTTGAAGAAGAAATTCGTTTGCATTGCCGGCTCCAGAGAACCAGCCGAGGCGTCAACGGACGCCCATATTTATACATTAAGCCATAAGTCGTAGTAATATTGTATCCATAACTTTCCTCCCAAATCTGTCCCTGTGTAAAGCCTCGACTTTTACGTGTACACACTCTCTGTAAACTGGTTGACTTGCAGACCCTTCTCAGCCATCTCGGCATCTCGCAGGAAGTCAAGCGGGAACCACACGAGATGACCCTTGATCTGGTCAATCTTCTTTCGCGCATCGGCGGCTGGCATGAACTGGTCGAAAATGTGGCCCGACTTGAGTCCCTTGGGAGGCAGATATCTGTCGTAGTCCTCAAAAGTTTTGACTGTGACCTAGTTAGATTTGTCTTAACAGCACTTGGTTCTGTGAACTTCTTACTGTGGTCATCGGGGTCAGCGTGGAACAGGTGCCTGAACATCTCGGTGTTCTTGGTTGCTCTCGTCGTCCACATGTCCCACAACTCGTCGCTGAGGGGATCCTCGGTAAACTTCCAGCTGTCGTCGCGGTCCCACGGGTCGTTGGGCGGGTCCTCGCCCGGAGGACGTGCGTTGATGTCCTTGCTGCCGTCCAACTCCTGGGAGGGGAGGAGACCGAGGTGCTCGCGCCAGAGGTAGCGTCGGAGTGATGTCGCGTGCCATCCTGCTTCATACGGCTGTCCGTTCATCGTGCTGGTCACATGCTTGGTGTCCTCCATGACGATACTCAGCTCGCTGTCGTGGTGGCCGACCTGACTGCGGTCGTTCAGGTTGCTGGAACCGCACACCACGATACGATCATCGGCGATGAGCAACTTGGAGTGGATGTAGAGCTCTTCCTGGATCCAGTTGCGGATCTCAGTCTCGGGGTCCTCGTCGTCCCAGATTTCTTCCTCAATAGAGCCAGAGTTGGCCATGGCGTGATGAGCAACTGAGTAGACGGTCTTGTGTCCGTTCTCGCCCAAGCTTGCCTCGAACTTCTTCTTGGCATCCAGCGCATCCCTGGCTTCTTGAGGGCGGCCATTTCCAGACTGATCCCTCACGGAACCCATATGCGTGTCGCGTTCCCCCGCGACAGGGTCCTTGGTTCCGTGGATACCAGCACCCATGACCTCCTCGGCCTGCGCGCGCTGGACCTCCAGATACTTAACGCCAGTGTCCTTCTCTCTCTTCTCGACAGCCGAGGTTCTGCTCAACCGGTCGTACGAGCGCAGGTTGAAGAAGAAAATGTGGTTCCTCGGGTCGACGCCTTGGGCTCGGCACTGCTCAAAGATGGAGTGCTCCCCACGGCAAATTGACTTGAATTGGTAGTCCATGATGGCGCGGGTACCGGTAGCAGCATCGTCACGGAGGTCACCAGCGAAACCGGGGATGGCAGGGATGAGAATGATGACGCGGAACTTACGGTTCTCCTTGCCGGCTCGGACGACTGCATCGACAATGGCGCGGCCGATGGTGTTGTGGATGGGCGATTGCTGGTCTCCAGTGGCCGTGATGAAGAACTGGTTCTCAATGTAGACAAAGTGCTCGGCCTTGCGGATGATCTCAGAGTAGGCGTTCTGGATGGAGTGATCCGTCAAGATACCACTGGACCAGTCGGCGCTCGAGCGGACAACCTGGGCATGCATGGTACCACGGTTTTCCAAGTTCTTTGAGGCAAGGTCGCTGAGAGGGTGAGTGACGTAGTCGCCCACCGGGTGCTTAGGCCTCTGCACTCCCACAAGATCCTCATCCTCATTCAGCCGGTTCTGAAGCTGGATCCAGTCGAATCGGTCGTCGCGCTTGTACTTGTCACGCTTCACAAAGTTCCAGCGCAGGACGAAGTGCTCGGCGATATCGTAGACGCAGGGTCCAACGACACCCATTGAGACGTCATGCCACGGCATGCGTCCGTACTGCGCCTTGCTCAGCTCATTCTGCTTCCAGTCCTGCACATTCTGGAAGTCCATAATTCTGTTGTTGTTGAAGTCCTGGCCAGGCCAGACCTCATTCTGCACACCTTCGGGGTGCACGTCGGCGAGCGGGTGGTCGTTAGTGTCCCAGCGACCGAAGCAGAGATCGAGGCCTCCAATGAAAGCCATCGCATAGTCAATGACGATGAACTTCTCGTGATGGGCCCAGTAAAAGGTCATGTCGGCGGCGTTCTCAAAGACGTTGTGGTCAGGGTGGCGCATGATTCTGATGTTTCCATATCCAGGGGTACCCTCGGGACAGAGGGCCTGCAGGGCGTGCTTGGTGTGCGCCGAGTTGCACGTCAGCGCAGCCTCAACCTCACGGTAAACAATGATGAAGATCTTGACTCCCGCCTCGGCGCGGCGCTTCAGGACCTTGTCCAGTCTCCATTCCTGGTTGTAGTGCGGCGGGCGGCGGAGGAACAGCTCGGGCGACAGCCACCAGTCGGCAATGTAGATGGTCTCCTTGGCCTGCTCGAGGGCCTCGGAGACGGCCCAGAAGTAATTGCGGCCGTCGACATACCACTTGATGAGGTTGCCGTCGCGCTCGGGGAAGAAGGACTTGAAGCGGTGCTCCTCGGCGATCTTGGCTCGCTTGTCGTCGGTCGCCTTTTCGTGCTCCTCGTCGTGGCGGTGGTTCGCGTTGAACTGGTGCGCGCACGGGTTAATTTCGTGTCTGGCGCCTGCGGATTGAGCAGGCCGAAACGGGGATGGGAGCTTACGAGGTTGGCAAACTTGCCGATTTGGTGCTTCTTGTGGGTTAGGTGGACTTTGGCGTCGTGGAGGTGGGTGCCCTCGAGCTTCTCCTCGAGCTCGCGGAAGGGCTTCTTCAGCTTGTGGAAGAAGCTCTCATTTTCAGGGTTGTCGTCCTTGTGGTCGGTGGTGAACATCTTGGCGACGGGTGGAACGGCGGGAAACGGGTATCAATGGGCGTTGGCTAGTGTCTAGATCATGAATTCGTAATGGTATGGAGGGGTATCACAGGGTTCGCGGGGTATAGCGAGGGGCGGTGGAGTGGGCAAGCCGTTGCATTCCAGCCAACACGGGATAACGGCAAGCTTGGGCTGGAGCTTGGGTGAGGCTTGAGATGGCAGAGAAGTGTAGACAAGACGGGAAGACGGAAGAGGGAATGGAGGAGGGCGCGCGACAAAAGCTTATGGGAAAGCTTGAAACCAAAGGGCTATGTCATACGGGGACGGCGGAGAGTCCAGTCCAGGTGGGCGGGAGTGAGGTCAGATAGCTCGGCCGGAAGCAGGAGGAGCGGACTGCAGCAAGGCAAGGAAGAAAAGCAGGATTCCACTTTGGAAGGGCACGGAGGAGGGCTAAAAGTGTGGGCGGCGCTGGGACACCGACTGGGCTGGGACCGGGACGGTTTTGGTGGTGAGACAGGGCGACGCTGGCGACAAGGCTAGAGTGCCATTTGACGAGCTAGAGGCGGGGCATCTGACGATCCGCTGGGTCGATTCCTGTCGTGTTGCGAGGAAGCATTGAATGCCTGCTTGCCTCTCTGTCGATATGAAGCAGGCCGAACAGAGCCGCGGTGATCCGATGCAAGATTCGCCCATGGTGGTGGTCTTGGCCCCTTGCCTCGATGCCACGCTGTGCTCAGGAACACCACCAACCAAGAGGCTCCCACCTGGGCCACAAACCTGGAAGCTCACCCTCCATCGGGCCAAGAATGGGAGGGCAAAAGGGCAGAGTGCGGTAGGGCAGGATCCCGAGGGGTGGTACGGATTGCCCCGGCGGGATGCGAAGCCGCGCGTCTTGCGCCTCTTCCAGGGCCATTGGCGATGGCAATTGGTGGCTGGGCATTCTGCTGAGAGAATAGACTCAGACTCCAAGAGGAATTTGGACAGCACAGCACAGCGCAGACTCTGCAGCTCGCAGGTCGCAGTTCGCAGCTGAAGGAGGGGTGAGTGTGACGGGTGACAGCAGCGGCGGGGCTTTTCGTCGTGCATTTGCAGCGTTTCTCAGCCCAGCAAGGGCTCGCGTGCTCAAGTTGTTCGTGGCACTCTAGCTTCGGCCAGACATTAGCCCAAAGTCATTGGACCTGCCGCATTCGCACTGAACCGAACAGATAAACAACATATCGGAACAGCTGTCAAACAAAATTAACGTAAAAAAACCATGAGCCCCGCGCTCGATGCGCCGGTGGCAGGGAAGAGCAGCCGAACCCAAATTGGAATTGGTCAGAGCAACGCCGTCACTGGTAGCAGAGTTGGAAGGCAGGTGGGCTGCTGCTCTATTTTCGTCTTGACGTCATTTGCAAACGGCAGACACCGGTTGGCTGATGAGACAGAATGAGTGGGGCAACACGACGTATCGATAAGGCAGCGACCCGAGCTGAGCTGAGCTGAGCTGTGGCAGGAGCCAACCTCCCCCTCCCAAAGCAGGCCAGGAAGGGCCAGCTGCTGCTGTGAGAAGGTACCTTACCGACATGTGCAGCTTCCACCGGTCCTTCCAAGCATTTCCCAAGAAAAGAAAGAGGGCAAGAAGAATGTGCAGGTGCCGAGTACCGGCTTGTCCTAGTCATCGCACAGCAGGGCAAGCGATGGTGCCATCTCAATTGCCCGAAGGGGAGGTAACACGTCGGAGCCTCTCCGAACTTGATTGATGAGGCTCTCTGACGTCACATCACGAAACGAACTGGCCTCGGCGACACGCGATTGCCCTTGCCATCATGGCTTGTGAAGTCACCGGCACTCTGGATGGCAAGGCTCTATTCTTTCGACAAGGCAAAATTTGCCGAAATACAAGCTTATCCAGCAGCGGCTCAACTTTGGGGAGGCTATCCATGCACGCTCGGATGGGGTGCTGGCTTCAACTCGGCAGATGCGTTGTCGCTGTCGCAAAGGGCAATCGATCGGATGACGGGGATTCATCAGCAAGGAATCAGGTCGCTTGATCACGTCCGTCACAGGATACGTCTCTAATGCTTGAATTTGGCTTCAAGGTGGCCCAGCCTGCGGTGCATCACAGCTTCGTTAGAATGAGGCTCTCGCCAAGCTCCTGTCATCTCAGGCGGGCACTCGTAGCTTCCGACGCAGAGTCAAACTCTCTAAACCTGGGGAACGGGAGGTCTGAGACCTGCCCAGTTAGCGCAAACACCCTAGTTGAACATCATCGTGGGCAGATCGGCCATCGCCGTTGTAGCCCATTCCACGTGCTGGTCAAACAGGGGTGTCTTGAAATCGTGTATTCGTTCCCACGTGGACGCCTCATTTCCGCCAGCGTCTCACAGAAAACACCGTTAACACCCGTTTGCTTCAACGGTAAAAGGCAAGACAGGTCTAAGTCGCTCTCTGTCCACTCCATTGCCATAGTTATGCAACCCAGTCAACACGCAATTTCAGTGAAACACCAACGCCCGAATGTCGATGCTCTGCCGGTGCTCCTCCCCATCCATCTCTGGGTCCCGAAAAGCACAATGCGCCGCCCGCCTGACCACCGACGTGTCCGAGTCAAAACACTTGATGAGCAGCGGCTCGTCCGGCCGCTGCTGGTCTTTGTAGTACCATCGGTGCGCCGGGTTCGCCTTGATGGTCCACGTCTCGGCGCGGTGGCGGGGGTAGATGATGGCGCCCGCGACGAGGTCCGCCTCGGCGACCGAGTTGCCGTCGGCGACGGCCAGCGGGTCCTTGCGGACGGGCTTGATGGGCCGCCAGAGGTTGATGATCTGGAAGCGGTGGCGGCCGGGCGCGAGCAGCTCGTCGACCTCGGCGCCGAGGTGGTGCCGGGCCATCATGAGGGCGCCGTCGTAGGACTGGTCGACGTGGGCCTTGTGCAGCGGCCCGCGCTGCTCCGTGTTGCGCTCGCCGAGGGAGTGCCAGTTGGCCGGCCCGCGGCGGATCTGGTGGTTGAAGATGACGACTCTGCTGGCACCCGTGCTGCATGGTTCGGACGAGGAACCACCCTGGTGAGCATGGGGGTATCTTCTCTTGATCGCGACTTGATTGCGGCCCACCGGTGTTCCTTACACCGCTCCCTCCGTTCCGTCCACTTAGGAGGAAGGGTTCGCAAGGGAAGACGTGAAAAAATATGGACTTACATTTCCTTGTAGAGCTTCTCGGCCTCGGGGTAGTAGACGTTCTTGATGCGCTCTTCGTCTGTGAATTCCGTCTCGACACTTGCGTGGCGGAGGTACTGGAAGCCGTGTGAGTCGAGGGTGAAGGTGTCCTCGTTGCCGGTGACGTCGGTGACGGTCATGGTGTGAGGGATCATCTTCCGCTCATTTGTGACTTTCTGGCTGGTGACGAGACATGAGTTATCTATACGCACACACGTGTATGCCTGAGGCCACTGGGAGAGTTCGGGGAGACGACGAAAAGCGTCTTACCCCCCAACGACGACTGGGGGCGGAGAGGATCCGTCGCCAGGGTCGTCGTAGTAGTTGATGCTGGTGACGATGTTTCGCGGTGCCCTTCCCCCGGTTTCTGTGGATTTAATCTGCGCCGTGTCTGGCACACATGGGAGCGTCGACCCCACTGCCATTGTGAACGATGAGGTGGATGTCTGTGGCGACCGAGTCTCGAATATCAGTGGTGTTGACCTGTGAAGTGAGGTGGTAGCGAAGTGGGAGCTGTAGCGGTTCGTCCCACAGTGTAAACAGAGTTCAATTGTTCGTAGGTGCGTTCGCAGCGAGGACCCGCGAGCTTTTTAGACACGAATGGTACGCAGTAAATCAGACGAAGCCACACAAGGGGAATCTCAGGAACACGATGGTGAGTTCATGATCTGGACTGGAAACTGCGAGGGGAGACCCTGATCTGGGCCGGCGGCACGGCAGAGGGAAGCCGCCCGACTGGCCGGAGCTCCGCAGTCTCCTTTTTCCGCGACCCCGCGCTACACCGTGCCGTATGCGTTCATGCACAGTGGCTCGTTTCTCAGAGAGGTGCTTTCACGCAGATGAGCAGGAATGAGGGGTAATCTAGCTGGCACTGTACGGTGTATCAGGGACGCTGGACAGCGACTATTGGCCCCCCTCGCCCCCACTGCAGCTGCAGTTCGATCGCTAGCGCCCTTCTCCCATGGCCCCAGCGGCCCAGTGCAGTCCAGGCGAGTCCACCCACTGTCCACTGTCCACCCAGCAATACCAGCCAGCCAGACACCTTGCCAGACATACACCGGATGCCAGTCCAGTGGCATTACTGCATTGCTCCAGTGGGGTCGCCAGGCCCTGGACATGGCAGCACCTCCATCGTCCAGGGTGTCTGAGGTCCCCGCTCCCCGCTATGAGGTGAGCTGCTGCTGGTCGTGGTGGTGCGTGGCTTCCGCAGGCTTGCTTGACCGCCCCTCGATTCCCGGTGCCGGTGCAGTTTCAAGGGACAGCTTGAACTTTCCCGATTCCATTGACCTCAACAACTTTCCTCCACTCTCTCTCCCTTCCGTCTTGCTTTTTTCTTCCTTTTTCCTTCTCTCCAAACAAACAAGATCCAAACAATCAAACAGACACAATGGCCACTGCTCAGATCCCCCCCGGAGGCACCTACCTCGACACCTTCAAGAAGTCCTTTGTCGACGTCCCTGTCGACGCCGACAAGGAGAATGCCATTGCTACCTCCGAGTTCCTCGATGCCGCCGAGTCTCTGACCACCATCTTCGGTAAGCCCAACAATGAATCCGCGCCCAATGCTTCCTTTTTCTGACGAGCTGTTCCACAGATGCCCTCGGTGGTGTCGCTTTCGGCCCCGTTAAGAGCGACATGGGCGGCAACATCAAGGTACGGAACACCCCTCTTTGACGACGCTCTCTCTGTCGTCTCCCTGCCTCCGAGTCTCTCCACAGCCGACAATACCTCCGATTCCAAACAAACAATGACTTACCTATTTCCGACGTACAGAAGATCCGTGACCGTCAGCTCGCCGCTCCCGGCGAGTCCGCCAACCTCCAGGAGCTTGTCAAGAACGAGCTGGCCACCAAGAAGCACGTCGCCACCGAGGGTCTCCTCTGGTTGACTCGGTAAGACTCCCTACGCAACCCACGACAAGAGGAGAAAGACGGAAAGCTAACGGCATTGTTCGCAGTGGCCTCGAGTTCACCTGCATCGCCCTTAGCCAGAACGTCGCCAAGGAGTCTGAGGAGCTCTCCGAGTCCTTCCGCAACGCCTACAGCACCACACTCAAGCCCCACCACAGCTTCCTCGTCAAGCCCATCTTCAGCGCCGCCATGAGCGCCTGCCCCTACCGCAAGGACTTCTACGCCAAGCTTGGTGACGACCAGGACAAGGTCGCCTCCCAGCTTCGCGTCTACCTCGCCGCTCTCGAGAAGATTGTCGGCATCCTCAAGGGTTTCCTCGCCAGCAAGGACGCCAAGTGGTAAAAAATGCATGTAACTCTTTGATATGAACATAAAGAGAAAGGAAACAATGAAAACAAAATAAGGATATCAATCGCGATATGATGTAAGAAGCAACATGTCGGTCTCCGCTGCGGTGCGAGTACATCGTCAGCTACGGGCCAGTTCACGCAGCCTAGAAATGAATCACGCCGTCGAAACTCGGACAAGGCGTTCTTTGATCAAACATAGACTAGCCCAATGCGCTTGTCATTACACAATTGCTCTTTGAAATCTCCAAGCATGCTGAATCGTACTTAAGAACAGCTAAACATATAAGCTCTCTCTCTTACCCCCCTCGACCCAATCTTCCAGTCGGGTAACAGCATTAATGGCACAAGAAATTCAGACTCGATTCTCCAAAACCAACTAGAACGCACTTGACCAACCCACACAATGTCACACAACATCATGACAAGGGTCCGGGGCCTCAATGGCGCCATGGGCGATTTCCAAGTCAGATTACCTCCCGAACTTTTTCTACGCATCGCCGAAGAATTAGGAATCATTATCATGAGCGATTCGTTTCAAAATCAGTTGGTTCAAGATGAAGCGAACGGCTCTCTGGCCGAGGACGATTCTGAGCAAAACATCGATCATGCGGTGAGGCAAGTAACAGTCTGCCTGCAGGAGTGTCCTACTCTGTCCATGCTCCGGGCCAGCACAGTTTCCCGGTACTTTCGCGAAAAGATTCTATCTATCGCTCTCAGATGGGATGCTGGCAGCGAGAATCCGTTGGCCATCCACTTCGCTGCCTCGAGAGGATATGCGACATTACTGAGTAACGCCTTGAAGCAACCGGGTGCGGATCCAAACTACACTCCAACAGGTTTTGGTCACGCAGCATTGTCCCCCGTCATGGCCGCGACATACATGGGCCACTTGAAGAGCGTCCAGCTACTCCTCGATGTCGGCGCTAATCTCAGAGACCTCGAGGGGTTGGAACAGAAGTGGCAAGTGGCTCCCCTGGTCGAAAGCTTCACCACGCAACTCCGTAATGCGATGAGCGTCAACCGTTTTTGCGTCAGGTCACCTCTTCATTTGGCTTTGCTGGCACCCGAAAACGCAGTAGAAATTTTCCGCCTGATACTTCAAGAAGTCTTGCCTCAATCCCAGGACCAGTACATTGCCGACCCCAACACAAGAATGTTCGCTCATGCCGTTGCCCAGGATCACGTCGATTTAGTAGACACCCTAATGCAGTCTGGGGCGCAATTAGATCATGGAGGCCAAACCCCCCACGGTCCGAACATTCCCGTCCTCCATCATGCCGTCTCTGCGCAAATGATTCGCAAGCTTCTACAGGTCGGTGCTTCCATACAGACGCCTCGCAGAGTCGGTCTCAACGCGTTACACGCCGTCTGTCTGCGCCAAAAGGACTGTGGATCAGCTGTGCAGGAACTAATCAACACGGGAATCGATGTCAACGAGATCACTGGCGGCGGCCCTGAGCGCAACACGCTGATTGATATCGGTGACTCTGTCAGCCAAATTCTGCAGGGCACGATTCCTCAAACGGCATTAAACCTCGCTTGCCGGCAGCTTAATCTTGCTCACATCAAGATCCTCCTCGATAACGGTGCCAATGCCATGGGCACAAATCACAACATTGAGGACTACAAGGACGAATTAACAGGCGAATACTTCCAGGCATCGCCACTTCACGACCTCTTCCTTCCAGAAAGTCTGCACAAGAACCCAGTGATAGGGGACAAGGCCAAGATCAGCGAAGCAATCAGGGGCGCCATTGAATATCTCTTCACACGCCATGGCCAGGTGGCTCTTCAACGTGAGCACTGGGTCGCCAACCGACACAAAATCACACGCAACTCTCATCGTATTGGCAAGATAGACCGAGATTTCTGGTACATGATACCGCACAGAAGCTCCACAAGAGTCATCGCAAAATACACCCCGCTTCAGCTCTTTTTCATGCAGCCCCTCGTTGACGGCCCGTCTATACCGGAAGCAATGTGGAACGCATGTGACATCAAGGAACAGATTAACAGTTTGATTGAGCCTTTTTGCGTCAGTCCCCTCATCGCTCTCCTGAGCCACCGCTTCGATCACCGCGTTGGGGACCTGAACTTCTACCGCCACGAGCTGCTCCGGTGGCTGCTCACACACGGGGCTGACCCCGACGAGGCTGACTTCGAAGGCTTCACTCCGCTCCACTACGCAGCATTCTGGCTTGATAAGATAGCCATCAAGATTCTCCTTGAATTTGGCGCCAAAACTGAGACCAAACTTACGGCCGAATGCCTCTCGCCCCTTGACGTGGTCCTCGGTGGCGTTTACAATAGGCACCAGCGAGATGCCTTGCGAGAACCGTTCCACGACAGCTTTGACAGTGCCTGGAAGACAATGGTGAGACGCGTTGATCAGGAAGAAGAGGACATCTACGGCCTGGGGGACGCCATCCGTCGCTGGGATGATGAAAATCAGTTGCCAATGTGCGCTCTTCCGAACTATGAGCTGAACCCAAAGTATGCCTTTCACAGCTCTAAGCCCTCGGCTCATATGAAGGCCCGGCATTTGCTCCCGGAGCTGCAGAGAAGGATGACTGAGCGCAAGAAGAGAATCGTGGACATGTTGCTTCCGAGGATGCCCCAGCTTCACGCAGCCCGAGACCCGAGCCGCTTTCGTCAAGGTCCCACCGACGACTTGCCGACCACGCTTGATTGGGCTTGCGCGACGGGCCAGAGTAATTATACCATTGAATGTCTGTGCCAGGCCGGATACAAGATGGGTCTGAGAGTACCCAAGGCCCCATTTCTGTACATGGATTTGAGGACTATCGAGTCCAACTGGACTCAGAGGCGCTCGGAATTGCTGAGCACGTACCCTCAGGCAGTGCCTCTCATTCCAATCAGGAATTGGTAGGAATGGGGGATCAGGTGTGGGGGTATATTCGAATATCCAAACGGTGTAATTGCTTCGCAGGTGTGGTCTGTCATGGAGTAGGCGTCAACGCCAAGCAATCTAACTTATGTAAACGGAGAAATGTAAGATGATGGTTTCAGAGTGTAGTCCACCGTTTGATACTCTGATCTTCATGTGTTTGAAATTGGTTTACTGTGCTAGCATTATTGCTGGCTAACGAAAGTGAGGTGGATGATTCACATTGATCATCGACGGGCTAGGAGTACAACTATACAATAGACTTGAAAAACATGTCTTCACATAGCACATGCTCCTGTCTACAATTTGAGCCGATTGAGAAACAGGCCTTCTCGGGCCGCTATTCACCATACAGCATCATGCCCTCATCGTTTACAGCGCGTCGGAAGTGACAATCTCCAACTCAACGAGTCCATACCCCTCGACGGTCTGGTTCCCCCGATACACACCAGAGACGGTAACATATCCCTCATACGTCGGCAACAGCCCACCTTCGGCAACCATCTCCTGGTCCGGCCTCACGCTCGAGATGGACAGCCTCGTCGCGTCGCCCAGCTCAAGCGTCCAGTCCAGGGGGTACACGGCCCCCGACAACGGCGAGATGTACGTCCTGTTCGACGGCACCAGCGACGTCACGGGAACGACCTTCTGCACGTCACGCCCGTCTCTGACCGTCGCTAGCCCGGCCGCGGCGCCGGCTTCTTCCCACACCCACACGGACATGGGCACGTCGTAGGCCTCTCGGTCGAGGTTCTCGAGGTGGAGCTCGAACCACGACCAGCCTGGGGGCGCGCCGCCCCATTGCCGGTCGTACCAGGTCAGCGAGCGCGCCGGGTCGACGGCGAGCCGGGTCCCGTTGACGGCGATCCAGCCGCGCGTGAGACCTGCGGGCATGCTCCACTCGTAGACGGTGCTGTTGCGGGACTCGAAGAAGCCGAGGCCGCCGTTGAGGAGGATGGGCGCGGAGGTGGAGAAGGTGAGGTCGAATTCCACCCCGTCCTCGGGCCTGGCGCTCCAGGTGCGCAGCTCGGAGATGCCGTCGGTGGAGCTGGTCGAGCCGAAGCCGTAGTCGGGGAAGGATGCGTTGAACACGCCGGACGGGGAGAAGGGGGGGACGGGGCTGGTGATGACTTGGTACTGCGCGTAGTGGGCCGGGTCGGTGATGTCGAGGATGGAGGCGCGGTAGATTGCGATGCTGGGGAGGAGGTGGGAGAGGACGAGGTAGGAGTGGTTGTTGGAGGCGTGGATGAAGGAGGAGGACCAGAAGGAGCCGGGGGAGGGGAGGTTGTCTGTCTGGTTGATTGTTTGCGAGACGGCGGGACTGAAGGTGGGTAGGTTGTGCTGGCGAGGATGTGTCAGTTTGGTTATTGAATGCGTGTGTGGGTTTTCTCTGATACGGGAGCAGAAGCAGGAATAGAAAGTGAGTTGGTTGAAGTACCAATCCTTCACGCAGGAGGCCATCCCGTTCAGGGCGAAAGGTCGCTGCGGTCCCGACGAGGGGCTGCGCGAGAAGAATCGCAAGCTTGAGCAGAGAGGACTGCATTGCGGCTGACAGTTTGGTATGAGATGTTCTAAGCTTTGACTGGTTGTGGTGTTATTCGGCGTTCTTGTTGAGCACCACCAAGGGCCGTCTTCTCTTCTTAAATACTTTCTGCCACGGGAAAGAGACCCGGCATCATGGCACATCCCCAAAGCCGGCCGTGTCTTCTCGCGCCCGTGATGCAGCCCTATCTCGGTGGTGATTTCAGCCCGTCGAGTGCGTATGCCCAACCTATGGGCCCTCTATCGTCCAGTAAAAGCCCTTCACACAGTTTCTGTGCGTGATGCCTCATTCGCTCCACCTACGACCTTTCTCCATCTCTCAGTGAAAATTCTGGACGCATTGTACCGACAGAGAAGGAGTTCATCCCATAGCATCACAATCTCCGGTCTTGTACACGCAAGCGTGGGTGGGCTTGCCTCTCCACACTTCAGGCTACGGTAGGAGAATTTTCAGCTGAGCAAGGTCTGTCCGAGTCCGTGATGTTGGTGATGACTGCTTGTGGTCTCCGTATCCCGTTTCCTCGTACGGCTTACATATATGCGCCGAAATCCGGGTGCCCCACCCCGGCCGGCGATTCCTGATGTGAGGGTGGGCGCCGGAGCGGCGCCGCGGGATGCGCGGGTGTGGTGAATAGTATCTCTGTTGTGGACAAGAGAGTCGGGACCGAACGATCGAGTTTTCTGGTGTCATGTACGACCTATTTCAGTCCCCACCTCTTAGTTATTGTTGTGTATTTATACTCTTTCGCCTGAAGGAGATACTTTTCCTGAGAAAGCACACTGTAATCACGTAGCTGGGGTTTGAGCCCCTTGTGATCTGACAAATACTGCTTAAGTAAACCGCTACACTACACGGTTGTATGTCACTTTGTTCGCATGCAAGGAACGCTCTGGCTAGCGTCTAAGGTGAGTTGGTAACAAGTCAATATAGCCTGTCAAATTCAGGCGCGGGGACCTTTCCAGAACGACTACACGTTCCTAGAAAATCAACATTTTCCTAGGCAAGCTATCTCCTTTGCTATGCCCTTTAAACACAGCATTACAGTGAGATAAGGTTAAAAGTGTCGACCTGTGATTAATCCAACTGTACCAGTTTGAGTTTCTTCAGAACAGGTCTATCTATAAGAATAAACACACCCCCTATTTTTCGTCATCGATATCAAAATTTCTTACAATTCTATGAAATAGCGTGCTTCAATACTGAAAAGGGAGATTCTTGGGCGTGATCACAAGGAACATTTCAAGTTTGGCGACAGCCTATCTGAGACTAGTCGAGAAGCCAATGTATGGATAAGAAAAGCATACCCAGCCATTGGCAACTACTATGGATGTATCAGTCTGTATCCCACATTCATGTCAAGCTGGTTTGGAGTTTTCTTTTATGCGGAAGTTACTTCCAAAGCCAAGGTCAGTTGATACACTGTATCTTGCATATGATGCTTAATGCAAGGTATCTCGTCTCTCATTCATCGCGGCAGGGTTAGCAGCTTGCTTAGCAGACCGCCATTTCAACAGATCAGCAATTTTCCCGGCACGACTCGAACATCATTCACCTGATTCACCTGTTAAGCCGAGGAAGGCTCGAGGAGACCAAGAATACGATCCCAAGTGGTGGAGCCCTGCTGACAGAAGAACCTCAAGTCGTTCGGAGTAAGACAGGTTCTCCACCATCATGGACAAGGCTTGCGAAATGGCATGTATATACACCGCCTTATCTTTACATGTGTCACGAGAGAAATTGGCAGGGTAAGAGCAGGATGACGAGGTGGAAATGACGCAAGAATGGCAAGGTATGTAGAACTATCAACCGAGGAATGCACTAGTCGGGTCATGGTCCACGCTAGAGAGATTCTACGGATGTCAGTCGAATATATAGAATCTCCCCATAACATGTTCTCAGCCGTGTTGGCTTAATGATTCAGATATGCTCTATTCCCTTGAAGTTAAATCCTGTCATGACATTCCAAGGTACAAAGGATCACTAGGCAGGGCTGCAGTCAACATGAATGCTATCCTCCTCTCTGATCCTCTAACTGTCACAATAAACATAGTGCGTTCTGTATTTGTAAATTCAGCTCCGGATATATTGCGTCATATCAAAACTAAAAGCGCCGGTAATGGCACATGGTATTTGAAGCTTCATGCAATTGAGCAAGAACAGAAAACCCCCAAAAAGGTCAGCATTTTGACAAATAAGACTGTTGCTGTTATCTCCCTCTCACCGCTGTCTTCTACCTTGAGAGCCCAGCCATCAGCATGCTGACCTCTATCAAGCTTTTCTCACCGCTGCCCTTCTTCGTTGCGTGTCTTGTCACAAGACGACAAGCGCTACGATGCGTGGATACTAAATTCCATCTACAACACGCAACTAAGACTCTGCCGTTCAGCCGGAACAGAAATCAGCGCATTGACATGGGAATTTGGCGAAGAAGAAATCTACAACAGGCTATGCGGCTTAAGATTGCGGGACTTTTGGAAGCGCCACTCTCATCATTGCGATGTGATGATTTTCTAGATTCACTGACTCGAGGATACGCGGGGCATCCATAAGGCTATCAGACTGGTGGCAGCCCGGTGACCGGGGTTGATGCCCCGTCATCTGACTAGAAGAAAGGTCGCTTACGGTTCTAGATCGCGAGAGCTACCAGAGTGCCTGGTTGCGTGTAAGTTTTTGGCTGACATTTCTTGGAACTGATGGCGTTAAACGCATTGCATTCTAGACTTGGATCGAAGGAGATATACAACAGCCTATGAAGTTAACTAGAAACCGAGTCAAACGGCTTGATGGGCGATCATTTGCAGCACCGTCTGTGAATCGGATATTCTTCCAAAGCTCATCATGCTAAAGGCCACTCCGCGTTTCGATGTAGTCAAAAGTTGCAAATTACCCGGGCTTCGCCTTGCAGCTATACGAATATTAGCTAAGACGGCCCTTTCTCGCTGAAACCGTGACTGATATCCAAGATGGCGGGACCAGGATAGGCCGTGTTGCAGCTTGAAGGACGGACGCGGTAATAAGGGGGGAGCGGGGAACCCGTTGTCTCGCTTACACCCAACTCAGTTGATGTGCGGAACTACGGGAACATCCCGAAGATAGAGGCCAAGGACTCTCTCTGTAAGTGAATCGAGAGCTTTCGTGGCTTAGCGGGCAACTCGCGAAGTAATCTCTCGCGGTGGGTTGTGGCATCGTCGACTGATTCAAGCGACAACTGACCGACGAAGTTGAGGACCTGATCATCCACTATGAGGCCCATACATGGAATTGATCCGTTGATTCGCGGGAATATCTTCTATACATTCGGTTGCCTACAGAGATCGGGCTGGACCGTGGAGTGGGAGATGTCCAGTGGCTCGCCTGGAGTTGCTCTTAGCCGGGCTGACGTTCCCACCCGTCTCGGTTAGAGAAGCAACAAACACGAAACCGACGGGGGGGCCTACGCAAGTCTACGGAGCGACTTTCCTCCTCTCGCCCCGAAGAGCAGGTCGAGTCGTTTGCTGACATTTTCTGACTGATACAGCATCTGCTGTCGAGGGCAAATGAGGCCTGCGGAGAAACTCTAATATGTTTCCTAAGATTGCATAGTTGGGATACCGGGAGCAGCGGTGAGATTACCAACGGGTTGCTGATGGCCTCCGGGTCTGGAAAAGCCCCCCGCCATTCCGGCAGAAGGAAGCCGAACCACTGGGTAATCCGGCATCTCCCAGAAAGCATGAAGTTCGGAAGGCCGTGGAGAAGGAGTGCTCCTTGCGATAATCATCACCGGCCGGCCGATCATGGAATAACCCAAAATGCAACTGCACACCAAGACGAAAGTGGTTGATCGACCGGGAGAATGCGACGTGACGAGCAATGACGTTCCATGGAGGGCAAAAGGCTCACGATGCACGCTCCTCATCGCGCCAAGCCCTGCGACGGAAAAGGAGCCGTGGGAGTGGCCACGGAGACGTTACAACTTTGTTGATGGTGGAGAGACTGTAGTCGCTTGGCGGGAAATTTTTAAAATGATTCTGGATTAGCGTCAGGGGCGGGATGGGCTTCTCTCAGATCCCTGCCTGCAGGTTCGTCCTGTCGTTGGATGGACATGATGCAGGGGTCCTGTCTGGAAGAAGAGGATCATTGCACTGGGAGCTGACAAGCGGGACGGGGTCGACGTGACGGTCTAGATTTTCGGGGATTTTTGATTGTTGGGAGCGCGAGAATGCTGATGCCAATTAGATTGTCTAGATTGGAACCTGGGCTGATGGGTTTCTTTTGATTGGGGATGATTTGCAAGGCGAATTGCTCCGTAGTGCGGTTAGCTGAGAGAACGAGCGCAGCGGCTATCCGCAGGATGATCCATGGAATCACAGAGAACGGTTCGGGAAGTTTTTGGCGTCTTGTCCTGTGTGTGGATTGTGATGTCAGGAATCCGGGGTTGCGTCGGAGGCGTGTTGGTGATATATGAAGAGTGCTGGAAAAAGCATCAAAGGCGGCGCTTAGGGGTTTAGGGGTTTGAGAGAGACAGGAGAGTGCGCGTCTGTCTTGGGCAGTGCCGTGCTGTGACACGATGCATGCAGCTGTCATTCTCTCATGACAGACATCAAGAGGGCGCAGCGGAATCCTCCTAGAACATCACCGTGTTCAATGGCGTTCGTTGAGGCATATCCGTAGCATCCGCGGAATCGGGTCACGGTCAATCTTGAATTATCATTTCGATTTGCGATGGGCTCCTCCAGAATTTCGTAGCTAAACGAGAAAACCAGTCATCATCCCAACGCGCATAGCGCCAATAACGAACGCCAATTAAGATGCGACTCGGTAAAGCCAACCGCCCAGGCGACCCCGGGCGGCGCTGACAGCCGCGACAAGGGTGATTCCTACCGCGATTCCTCTCGTGGTTCCTCCCGTCAGGAGCAGAGGATTGAACGACATGATACGGATAGTATCGACAATGCCTGATGAACACCAAGCAGCATCCTCAATGAGATGGGCTTTGATGATGTTACAGTATCTCTTTCCCCAGATTTTCGGAATCTACTACCAATCAATCTTCAATCGATTTAACCTGTAGAAGCTACAGCAAGCCTACATACACTAACAACACGAACAGCAGCACAGTCGGGCCAGGGCTTGAAACGAGACCCAAGTGCTGGGGTGACCCATTGGTGGAAAACGACGGCGCCACTCCACCCGTTTGACATGAATTAAGGAGGGACGGGAGGCGCTCTTTTTTCTGCTTTTTCTGAAGCTCTGCAGCTCTTGGTAAAAACAGGGACCACGAAGGGGGCGCTACTATGGTACAGCGCAGACGGAGACACCCAAGAGCCTGGACAACTCGCCTGGCCGCCCCCTAGCACCGCGTTCCTCCGGGTCTATCGTCTGAAGTTGAGGAATTAAGATCGGGTGTTAAGGCCTTGGGATGGCGCGGGCGATGTGCAATGCCGCGATTGATGCAACTCAGGGAACAGAACTTTACTCTGTACTCTAATAGGGTCCCTCGAAGCCCAGACCTGGTCAGAGGGAAACGAGACAGCCGTCGACGCATAGAAACAGCGGGAGTTTAACACAAAGTAGAGATGAAGTCAGCATGAGGGATCCCCAACAACGACAGCCATCGCTTGTCAGTGTCAATGTCAAGTCAGCGAGCAAGCAGTACCACCTGATGTTCTGACAATGACCCGACCCCCGGTTTCCGTGCTAAAGCCATTCTCGGTTGGCGTTTCTGGCAGACAAGCCCCAAGCCCAAAGAAGCCCAGATGGCAGAGAGCTCGAAGCCACCCCGGGCCGCTGGTGGGGAGAGACGAAATTGCACCCTCCGCCGCGTTTGTGGTGGTGAAACGGCCAGGCAGATTTGACCAGCCCAGGATCGTGCTATCTTGACTTACAACTCACTTTATTCACAGAGAGGGGCACAAGTCGGCTGCGCAGCCAGCAATACGGCCGGGCCCTGGACCCGGCTTTGCCTTGCCTTGTCGCTCGCTGTCACTGTCCGACGAGGCGGTCCGCCCACACATTTGTGGAAGTTGATGGGCTCCATTTCACTCGTTGGCGACTTATTAAATGGAGGGAAACACCACACCTTTCGTCCGCAGATAGGACTCTCTCTCTTCTTCTCTGCCTCAAGGGATTGTTGACCATCCTTGCCCAACCGACACTCTTTTTTTCACATTCGTTCATTCATTCTTTCCAATAGGCTTAGTTCCTATCACAGCAAACCAAACGAAACATCACGAAGACAGTATCCGACTGTCAACCAACCATCCGACCGATTTCCATTCTTTTTTTTCTAGGGTGACTTTGAAAGTTCCTGCTTTTTGCAAGCGATCAGCAACATGCACTTCCTCTCCATCCTCGGTCTCGCGGCCGTGGCCGTCGGCCAGCTCACCTCGTCTTCCCTCGAGAAGCACGTCGACTCCGTCACGCTCAGCAAGTCCTTCAACCCCATCAAGGAGGCGTACTGGACCGGCTACCCCCACCACCGCCGCACCCCCTTCGCCGTCTCCCCCGATGGAAAGTCGGCCTACCTCGCCTACCTCGACTCCTCCGAGACCGGTGTCCACGTCCAGCCCATCGACCCGACCACCTTCGCCGCCACCGGCGACCTGGTGACCATCTCCGGCGGAAAGGAGGCCGGCGGTCTCGTTGCCCACAACGATGGTTTCGCCATCCTCACCAACGAGGCGCTTTCCGGCGTCACTGACCCCGTTGCCGTCCTCTACCGCTACACCAACGGCAAGGAGACCTTCAAGACCTACCTCGGCGGCCCCGATGTCGACCAGGGCCAGGCTATGATGTCCCCCGACATGAACGGTGACCTCGTCTTCTCCGAGAAGGCCGGCTACTACGCTGCTTACATCGTCGTCACCGCCTACCAGGGTGATGCCACCGGCCACTTTGGCGATGCCATCCGCTACATCGACACCACCGGCAAGCTCACCAACATCGCCGGTGCTTCTTCCTCCTGGGGCTGCTCCCACAACACCGGTATCGCCTTCGAGGCCGCCGACGAGGCCCCCTTCGCGTCTCTCTGCGCTGAGGACCAGGGTGCTATCTGGCTCAACACCAAGACCCAGGGCATGACCAGCGACGGTGTCAAGGTTTCCAACGAGCACGTCATCAACGGCGGCGCCAACGAGGCCATGGGAGGCATGTCTGGCTCCTACAGTGTCCTGGCCCGCTTCATCGGCGCTGACTCCTACATCTTCTCCTGGGTTTCCCGCGGTGCCAAGGACCTGACCGCCAACGAGTGGATGGGCAGCGGCTACACCACCTCCAAGAACCGCACCAACAACCGCAACGTCGCCATCGCCCTCTTCTCCGACAAGAACACCCTCGTCGGCGACCAGGCCACCTCCGAGGTCGGTGCCGCTGACGGTGACAAGCAGGTCAACTGGATGACCTCCGGCACCAACGACTGCTCCAACGCCCACGCCGCCGCCTTCGACAGCTCCAAGGCCCTCGTCACCTGGGAGGAGATCTCCAACCCCATCTGCGACTTCGACGCCATGGGCTGCAAGGGTACCTTCGCCGGCACCAAGTTCCAGATGGTCGGCAGCGACGGTAAGAAGGTTGGCGAGGCCGTCTCCGCTGACGACACATACGTCGCCGGTGACATGGTCACCATGTCCGACGGCCGCATCTGCTGGCCCTACGTCTCCATGGACTGGAAGCTCGACGGCCCCGTCACTGGCTCTCCCGTCTCCAAGATGTCCTTCGCCTGCATGAGCGGTGGCTCTGGCTCCGGCGGCAGCGCTTCTGCTGCCCCTGCTTCCTCCGCGGCCGCTTCCACCGCTGCCCCCGTTGCCTCTTCCGCCCCCGCCGTCTCCTCCACCGAGGCCGTCGACGCCGTTGCCACCTCCGCCGGCTCCGCTGACCCCACCTTCGCCTCCGGCGCCGCCCCCGAGCCCATCTTCTCCACCATCTCCGGCTCCGCCCTCCCCAGCTCCAGCGCCCCCGCCGCCTCTGCCCCGGCCGTTCCCTCCTCCGAGCCCGCCGCTTCCGTCCCCGCTGAGACCCAGGCTGCCGCCTCCTCTTCCTTCTCCGCGCCCGCCGGCGCCCCCGAGCCTTCCTTCGTGACCGTCTCGGCTGACCCTGTTGCCTCCTCTGCTCCCGCCGGCACCGGCCTGCCTGTCGAGACCATCCCCGACGCGCCCGCCACCTCCGCCGCCTCTGCCGACCCCGTCGCCACCCAGGCCCCGTCCTCTGCCGGTGCCTCCAAGACCAGGACCCGCAAGCACCGCACCAAGTCCCGCAAGGGCCCCAAGCCCACCGGCGGTGCTGGCAAGCCTAGCGGCGCCGGATGCGTCAACCGCACCACCATCCACACCGTCTATGTCACCAGACGTTAAGTGGTACTCGCATCGAGGAGGGAGGAGAATGACGATGAGGGGTTAGGAAAAGGGATGTGGGGAGAGGCTACGCGTCACTAGCTGCCGTGGTGAGGCCTACCTTGCTTCCTGGAGGATTGTAAGATGAAGAGAAGGACACGCCGCAAAAAGCAGAACACTCTCTGAAAAGAAGGTGAAAGGATTGGGCTTGAATGAGATTCATGTACATACTATGTACGATTTGTACACAATTTTCCCAACTTGCGTCCTGCAGTCGCTGTATTCGTCCTCTTGGGTGAATATGGAGGATGTAGTGACGCGAGTCAAGGCCAGTGGCCGATTTTCAGCAATTGAACCAACTCAGTTCATCACCGGTTGTCGGGAGCATTTTGCATCCAAGATGTCTTTACCCTGTTCATCGTTGCCCCTTGTGAATGATTTATCTGGGTGCGAAGCACTCGGACTCGCATCATCAACCGTCAGGTGGGAATTACCAGCTCCACGGTTTCTTGGCTTTATTATGCGGGCCACTGGGGTCTCGGAAGAGGCCGAATAAAGCTATTGAATTTTCAAAAGACGGATTAGGAAGACGATGAATGCTTTTGGGAAGAACGCGAGAGCGAAATGTGGTACGGCAGCCGGCAATGTCGTCTTTTACCCCCCCTGTGAGCTGTGATGTGATAGAGCATGACCGGCGAGTCGTGAAGCTTTGTGAGAAACGATAGACTAACAACACGTGTTGGTGAGGGCGGGAAATGAAAGAGTGGCATTCGGACTCTATCACCGAAGGTAAATCGCTACATTCGGTGGCCAATATTTCCCCATAAATGATACCCTTCCCCTCTTTCTTTTCACTGACAACCAATTAGACTTCGCAACTCAAAAGACGCCAGCAAAACTCCATCCAAAAACCGCCGTCCAAGCATCGGCCATCCTCTTCTTCCAGAGAAATAAGAGGCGGCCTAAACACCCTGAATGGACATCCAGCGGGTCCTCCCTGTGTTCCTGCGTCCGAGCCCCCCCTGCAACACCACACACACACACTCAACTCACATGCTACCTCCAGGGGCCTCTCCTGTCAGCAACGCCGATAATGCGCCGTCATTGGGGGCTATCGCTGACAGCTGAGGGGTCCTCGTGGCCTGAATGGACCAAAGAGCACGCAGAAGCCACGCTTTCTGCAGGGAACACGGGGCGAAGCGGCACTCCATCGCGGCCGTGTGTCCCCTAATTGGCTCAAGTGGTAATGGGAGCTGCCCCAATCGTCACGTCCAAGACAGCGGGATTCGCGGGATTCACATTGATTCAATCTACAGCCTACGATATGCTAGACTCATTGGCCAATGATGTGCTGTGAAGGTATGAAAGATGCCATCCCTGGCCGCTGACGACGGCTTCTTCGGGAAGGACCCCTGGTGCAGTCTAGCTCGAGATGTAAGTCGCCCTCTTCGTCCACCTGATTCCTACCTGACGGCGGCGGCGGCGCAATCGTCCACAACTCCATCACCAACAGCCCTCGAACCCCTCGTCTTCTTTGCCAAAAAGACCCTTTTGGTGCTAATTTGTTACCGATTGAGCAGATGAACGGCATTCCCCGTCATAATCGCATCTCAAATCGTCCGCCGAGTCGGCACCAAGTCCCGCCCGCGGCCAGTATCCGTCTTGTCGTCGACTTTGCGCCCATCACGACACCCCAAGATCATGAGAAGCTAATGCAGGAACGTTGCATTCGTCATCTACCAATCCTCATCTTCCCCTCCTCTTTGCCCTGAAGACCCCGGTCTCGTGGGAAGGGTACCAGATAAACTCGTGGTCCTGACTGGGCCTCACGCCATCTCCTGCCGCGTCTTATCCCCATTCAGCCGTCCATTGATGTGAGCCACACGCCTTTTGAGCTCTTGGAAGAGAGAATGCGCGGCTCTGATTGCCGGCGCCATGCGCCCTTAGCGGCAGCTCAATCTCAGCTACCATGTGTCCATCATCTGAAAGGGGGATGGTCGTGAGAACTTGGAGGGTGGAAGAACAGACGATGTGCATCCTGCGAGTGCTCATATAAGGCCTAGTGGCCGCCTCTCCTATAGAAGGCCCTGGGTGTTGAAGAACCAGCAGCACCTGTTTGTCGGTGATCTCGCGATCCTCCAGTCACTCGTTGACCCTTGCCAAGCAAGCTCAGATTCTGAGCGTCCTCTCTTTTCTTGATACCCTCAGCAACAATTACAATACCCTCTTTATTTTCTTTACTTTAGATACCCACACTCATTAACAATGGTCCGCTCAAACATCATCGGCCGCCTGCTGGCCGCCTTCTTCCTGGCCTCCGGCGTAGCCGCTCATGCGGAGGGATGCAGCTGCCACGATGACGGTGTTGTGCGCGTCACTTACATCGTCGTCGAGATGCCCGAGCAAGAGCCCGAGAACTTCCCGGTGTACTCTACTCTTCCCCCCTCCACCACCCTCCAGACCATAGCCACACCTGTACCAACTGGAAAGGTGACTGCCCAAGCCGCCCATGTTATCGAAGACATCCCGGCCTACGAGCCCGTCGCCGCGAAGCCCGAGACTCTCCGGCCCGCCGAAAACACCACACACACCTTCGGTCCCACCATCGCGCCGGGCATCGACACAAAGGACCCCGTCAACATCGTCCCGGCCAAAAATATCTCGCTCTACTACTCTGCCACCGAGACCGAGGAGCAGGGCTCCATCAACATGACCCTCGCCCTCAACAACCCTGCCGTGGTCCTGGAGCAGGTCGACGCCGTAAAGAGCGTCGTCTGCGACGACAACGAGCTCACTATTTCTTTTTCTGGCTCTGGGGCTTTCGACCAGGCGGTCAAGGACTGGTCCGAGTCTGAAGAGGGTTTCATTCTCATCACGAATCATATGGGCAACTGTGACGCCGAGTTTGAACGCGGCTTCTTCATGGCCACGGGCCTCACGCCGAGCAGGGATGACCTCTCCATCACCGTCGCCTCCTCCAAGGAGGAGCTGACTAACATTGCCGGCCAATGCGAGATGTCCTTCTCCTCCCTGCCCGCGACCACAATCTCCAAACGCCTGACCCTAGATCCGAGCGTCTCTATCTCCTTCTCCGAGGGTCTCGCCGATAACACCGTCCTCTTCAGCGACGGCCAGTACATCAACGTGACCGCCGACGAGGCATGGTTCTCCTCCACCATTACCTTTTCAGGCTACCTCAAGTACAACTTCTGGGGTTTCAAGCTCGAGGCGCTTTACTTCGACCTGGACACCACCTTCGACTCCGCCGTGGGCCTCTCCGTCGATGTTGCCGCCGCGTACAGCCACCAGCTCAAGTACGCCCCAGACGAGCTCGCCTACTCCCTCGTCTCAGTTCCAGGAGTCGTCCAGCTCGGCCCGGGGGTCGCCTTCGCCGTCGGCCTCGACTTCGATGTTTCTGCGGCCGTGGGTGTCACTGCCGGGTTGAGCGTCAACCTCCCCGATGGCAACGTCCACCTCGACCTTCTCGACAGCAGCAAGTCCAGCGCCACGGGCTGGGAGCCCAAGTACAGCAGCTACGCCAACATCACCGAGGCCGCGGACGTGCGTGTCGATGCCTCGGCGGACGTGACTGTGGAGCTGGCCATCAAGCTGCTCGGTGGCCTCGTCGACCTCAGCTCTGGTTTGACTGCTACCCCAGGCTTCGACAACCACTTCAAGCTGCGCGGTGAGCAGAATCTGGGTGTGGCGGGCAACTTCACCACAGCGCCCGTAGCTAGCGCCGAGGTCCCCTCGGACGGGCTCATCTGCGCCGAGAAGAATGGTGTCGAGCTTGCCACCGATTTCTATTTCAATCTCACAGCGTTCGCGACAAAGTTCTGGAGTGCAGAGTTGTACCACACCCGCGTGCCACTTTGGGATCTCTGCTACAGCTTCTAAGTGGTGTTGTGAAGTTTAAGAGACTCTTCCCCACCACGTGTATTTCACTTACACACCTTGACGAATTACCTCTTCATGATTGTATAATACTATTTCATAATGTCTACCTCAAAAGGAAAGGGAATGAGCGAATTATATTATCCGCGGAAGAAAACCCCCCTTGATTCAAATATACAAACTCTGCCGTATTAGGCCCTCTCAAGCTTATTCGTAACCGTAATGGCATATGCAACGATGGGTCTCGGCCATACTTGACTTGCCGCACCATAAACATGATCAACCGGGACTGTGGTTGACGATCGCTGATTTTCACTGTGAGCGACAATGATGAACAGCCGACCCCGTACACTGCTTCCAATATTAGAATCACGGGGAAGGGACAAGCTTGGTTTGGCGAGAAAAAGGAGCTTGGCTCACGGGGGAAAACACACAGGGGTAGCCCTCACCTGCCGCCTGCGACACGGCTGCACGGGAAAGAACAGAAAGTCGAGCCGTCAGCGCCATTCACGAGTTGCTCACAGGCCGATCAAACTCTCCACTTTCCGATGTGCTAACACATCCCCCGGGGCCCAGAGCCTTGGTTCCCCGTTTCGTTAATGGCAATCAAGCTTATCCTTCCTGAGCTTTATTCTACGCTCGTACTTAGGCGCCGTGCTATTATACGATTTTCGCTGCTGCTAGGGGCCCAGCGTTCATCACGTCTGGAAGCGTTTCAAGAGCTCGACGCCCGGTTACGGATGACAGATGACGTTATTATTTTAGTGACGGGAATAATCAGAGGAAGAAGAGACGAAATTGAAAGCCGCAATGCATAGCCATCCTGGCCTGTTGTTTGTCTACCCAAAAAAGATCTAGAAGGAGTGGGCAGTCAATCCGAGAGTGGGCAGCTATTTCTTCACTGTGAAGTTTGGCCCCAAGACGTGGTAAGGGTGAGAAAGATTAAGTGATTGGGGGCGTGGTGCGGAGCCAAGACTTTTGTACGATGAGACGACGGAGGTCTCTGAGACTGATGCGACTCATCAAAACTTTTGTGGAGACTTTTTGACGTTTTGGATGGTTGATGTGCCCTGTCCCGTCAGACTTGGCTCCGAGGCGAGGGGTGGAGTGCGGAGGATCCTGGACATCCTGGACACACACACAGCCATCATGGATCCAGCATGGATACGCGGAGAACTTGGCAGCAACACCCAGCTGATGGGAAGAACTGCAGGTCCAAGGTCTTTTACAACTTTCTTTACCTTCGGGTTGCTTGGCACATGCCACCGGTCTGAGGATTCGATGTGATGTTTCACGGGGGGGTTGTATCCCGAGTGAGATGGGCCTGGACTGGGGCCCGCCATGGCTGTACATGGCTGAATCGTTGTTGGAAGTTGAGACTTTGGCGCAATGACAACGGATGAATGGCGTGAATAGGTCAGGACTTAGGGGGTTGAGGTCAGATGGCAGATGACGGGTGCGAGAGAAAAGTTGGGATATAAAGATTGGGCTCTTGGCCGACAATCATTGAGTTGCTTTACCTCTTCACCTCTCACGCCTCAACAACTACCTCTTCCTCTTCTCCCTTTTTCCTTCTCTTGAGTTGAGCCAGTCTCATTCTTTCAACTACTCGGGTAGTAGTCTAGTTCGTGTTAGCAATTTTTATTCCATTCTTTTTCACCTTCTCTTACTATCTCTTCATACTCTCTACACCCCAGACAACATGAAGTTCTCTCAAGCAGCCGTCCTTCTCCTGGCCGGCTTTGCCGTAGCCGCACCCACTACTTCCGATGCCCTCCGCGGCCATCAGCGTCAGCGAAGAGCCAACGGTGGCCAGGGCAGCGACCTCATCGCCCAGCTCCAGAGCACCTTTGACAGGAACAACCCGACCGGCACCCCCGCCGCCGCCGGAGACCCTGCGGACCTCAACGGAGATGGCGTGATCAACGCTTTCGAGGCCGGTGCCCAGGCCAGCAAGCTTAAGCTCAGACGTGGAAAGGGCAAGAAGCAGCAGGCCGCTGGCAACAACAACGATGCCGCCGATGGCAACGATGCTGCGGACGCCGCTGGTGGCAACGCCGGCAACAACGCTGATGCTGCTACTGGCAATGCAGGCAACGCTGCCGATGCTGCTACCGGCAACGCAGCGGCCGGCAACGGTACTGCGAACGCTGGCGGTGCCGCTGCTGGAGGCAAGAAGCAGAAGAAGGCCAAGGGTGCGAAGGCAGCAAAGGCAAAGGGCGCGAAGGCCGCCGGCAAGAACGCGGCCGCGGGTGGCGGAGCTGCTGGCGGAGCTGCTGCCGGCGCCGGCAACGCAGCCGCAGGCAACGGTACCGCGAACGCCGGTGGCAACGCCGGAAACGCCAACAACAACAACCAGGCCGGCAACCAGCAGGAGGGCAACAACGAGCAGCAGGGTGACAACCAGGATGCCGGCGACGCAGCTGACGGTGCCGCTGGCAACGCTGGCAACGCCGATGCCGGTAACGCTGCTGGTGGCGCCGCTGACAACGCTGGCGGTGCCGCTGCTGGAGGCAAGAAGAACAAGAAGGCCGGCAAGAACAACAACAACAACAACGCTGGTAACGCCGCGGATGCTGGAAACGCTGCTGACGGTGCCGCTGGTGGTAACGCCGCCGATGCTGCTGCTGGAGGCAACGCCAACAACAACAACCAGCAGCAGGGCCAGAACGGTGCTCAGGACAACGCTGCTGACGGTGCTGCTGGTGGCAACGCTGCTGATGGCGCCGCTGGAAATGCCGGAAACGCCGCCGGTGGCAAGAAGAACAAGAACGCCGGAAACGCCGCGGGCAACCAGAACAACGTCGACAACGCAGCCGGCAACGCTGCTGATGGTGCCGCCGGAGGTAACGCCAACAACGAGCAGCAGGGCCAGAACGGCGCTCAGGATGGTGCTCAGGACGCTGCTGACGGCGCTGCTGGTGGCAACGCCGCCGATGGTGCTGCTGGCAACAACAACAACCAGCAGGGTCAGAACGGTGCCCAGGATGGTGCTCAGGGTGGTGCCGGCAACGCAGGTAACGCCGCCGGCGGAAAGAAGAACAAGAACGCCGGAGCCGCTGCGGGCAACAACAACAACAACAACAACAACGCCAACAACGGTGCCGCAGACAACGCCGCCGGTGGTGCCGCTGACGGAGAGAACGCCGCGGACGACGCTGCCGGCGGTGCTGCCGGCGGCAACGCGGGCGCCAACAACGAGCAGCAGGGCAACAACGAGCAACAAGGCGAGAACCAGGACGGCGCCGCTGGCAATGCCGGCAACGCCAACGCCGGAGCCAACGGCAAGGCGGCGAACAAGGCCGCGAAGAACGCTAACGCGCGCCGTTTTCTCCACAGGGTCTTTTAGGTCCCCATTTCAATTCAGCAACAATTCTGCCAGTGCGGTGTTTAATATGAAGGATTCCAATGCTGACGGGGCCCAGAAGGGGAATGGGAACAATGCCAAGTCATCTTCACAAGAGGGCCAGAACGGTCAGAATGGTCAAAATGGGCAGGATGGGCAGGATGGGCAGGATGGTCAAAATGGCCAAAACGGTCAGGATGGCCAATTCAGCGGGGAGAACAATGTTGATCAGACGGGCGAACATCAGGACCCTGAACCCGGAATGGGTTTCCCGGATTTGTTGGATTACTATGAGATTCGATGCGATGAGTGAAAATTTATTATTACTTCTACTGGCATTCTGTTCCTTCGCGAGCAACAAAATAGGGGAGAAGAAAGTCTGTCTTTACTGTATTATAGTTCAACGAGCGATTTTGTTGACGAATTGCTCGTGCGACTTTCACTGGCCCTGCGAAATCTTGTGATGGCTTCACCTCGGAACGAGACAAGATCGGCTCTTCTCTGTGGGTTTTCTCGGTCTCGGCAACAGTCCATGTGTAGTGCAGTCTTAGTGAAGAGTCGATTGTCTGGTTGTTGAATGAAGCGTGATGATCAGGGGTTACACTGGCCAGAATCATAAAAAAAGAACGGCAACAGAACAGCCGATATGGGGAAGCCCCTGTCAATCACTTGGAGAGAGTTTCGGCTTCATCTGAACTTGAACGGCTTTAACGTCAGTCTTGACTTTCTCCGCTCGGCTCGGCGTATGGCCCCCCTGTCTAGAATGAGCCAATCAGAACAAGTGTAATGCAAAGAAACAAATGTGAATATGTTCAGGTTGAGTCAATAGAAACCATTGGGACCTCAATTTCACGATGATGCTGTAATTAGGTCGTTCAAGATCACGATGAGGTGCATACATGTGTTCCACTAAGAAACGCGCTCTCGGCGTGCAGCGGTGGGCTGATTCGGCCCATTCGGGTGCTAGTTCGCCACGGCCCGCCGAGATCCAGGGCGGTGGGACCGGGCGCGCGCCGGGCGTCTTCTATGACGAGCCTCTTGCGTCAATCCTCCCGACGTCACAGACCGGTCACTCGTGTGGAATTCTAGAACGCGTCTGAGTGATGCGATGTTTTCGGAGCCGATAAAACCTCACGGATGAAATTGTCATCTGGGCAGTAAACGATTTTCTTTGTAGAAAATTCCAGTGAATCATTAGAGAAACCAAGAACATCAAGTACCGCCATCATGAGTTCACGAAGCACCGTTTTCCAGCTGAGCGGCACATGCAACAATTACGACTGGGGAAAGAAGGGTCATGATTCCCTCGCCGCGCGCTTGTGTGAAAACACCCCTACCGGCTTCAAAATCAAGAAAGGCGAGGCCTACTCAGAGATGTGGTTTGGCGATTACCCGGACTTCCCTGCCCGAGTTCTCGAGTCACAGGAGCTTCTCAGCGATGTCTTGAAAAAGAACAAGAAGTTATTGGGAAAGAAGGTCATTGAGCAGCTTGATGGCCAGCTACCATATCTGCCAAAGGTAGAGTTCCCTTATCCATAATGCATTCGTATCGACACACACTGACACACGACTCAGATCCTCTCAATCGCCAAGGCCCTCCCGCTGCAAATCCACCCCAACAAGTCTCTCGCCAGCAAGCTTCACGAGCAAGACCCGGAAAACTTTACCGACCCCAACCACAAGCCCGAGATCGCCGTAGCTTTGGGCAAATTTGAAGTCTTTGCTGGCTTCAAGCCCCTCGACCAGATCTCCCCCATCTTCAACATCCCCGCGCTCAGGGACTTCATCCCCGATGACACGAAGACTTGGTCTGATGAGACACTGCGAGAAGTCACCCGGCGCATCCTGTTGGCGGAAGAATCGACCGTCGAGAAGGCATCAAAAGCTCTCGCTGACACACCCCGTGAAGAGCTCGGCGGCAATGCGTACGTGCAGGATCTATTGCCAAGGTTGCAGGAGCAGTACGGTAAGGGCGACCCCGGAACGTTGGTAGCACTGCTGTGCATGAACTTCTTGACGTTGGAGGCGGGTGAGGCGTTGTACATCCCCGCAGACGGCATCCACGCGTACCTGTCGGGAGACATTGTCGAGTGCATGGCGCGGTCGAACAACGTGCTCAACACCGGCTTCTGTCCACCCGGCGACCGGAACAATGTGGACTTGTTCAGCAAGACTTTGACTTTCAAGGCTCACAGCAAGGACGATGTCATTTTGCCTGGAGAGAAGAGCCCCAGGGGTGCGCAGGGTCGGACGGTGGTGTACCGTCCGCCGCTGAGCGAGTTCGATATGCTGCGGACAGATTTGGATGAGAAGAACCCAAGCGAGGTGCTCAAGCCGGGCGAGGGACCTGCTGTAGCCATCGTTACTGAAGGTGAAGGTGTTCTGGAGGCGGACGGAAAGCAGTTCCAAGTCAAGGCTGGACACATCTACTTTATTGCGCCTGGCATTGAGGCGAAATGGGGAAGCAAGAGTAAGATCCAGGTGTTTACGACTGTGGTCTAGATTTTTTGTGTAGAGGTTCTAGAAGTATGATGTTATGAAGAGATGAATCTGTTTACCGAAGGAACTATTCGGGTGCTTCCTTCATATTGTCACAAAATTCCGGTGCGAGGCAATGATCATTATTTCAATCTATGTAATCGTCGCTAATGGAGTATCTCTGAAAATGAATCAAAAATAGTGGCGATGAAGCCGACCTTGCTGGAATACAGCTACGTTCGCCTCAATAACTCCCAACTCCTGCAACACACACCCGTGATTCTAAACATCAATGGCCTAATTCTCTAAGATGGCGATCCTTCCCAGCCGCACTCTTAACTGCGTTCTCAACAGCCGAGGCAAGATCAAGGTGGAAGAAAGGACGATTGATCCCAGTAATCGGGCCCAAAATTCGGCCCCCGATCTCCTTATAAGCCAAGCTTCCCTCCTCCAAGTTCGAAGACGACTGCTCAGAGTCGCTGGTCACGCACACGGCCTTTGAGCTCCTCGCAGTCGATGCACCATCACACAGCATTGGGGGCTGGCCAGCTAGTTCTGCCAAGGTGAAAACGGGCTCCCAGCGATTCAGGTGTCCTGGCGCAGGGCACCCGAAACCTGACACTGACAGGGCTCGGCGTGTCCATCGGTTTTGCAGGCCTGTAAAGCGCCATTCGACAGGTTCCGGCGCGGCCCAGCGATCGAGCTGGTTGCGGAGGTCAATCAGGCCTTCGACGGCCCCTGAGTCCATGTTGTTGACGGCGGAGCAGTCCAGGATAACGGCTCGCAGTAAAGGTTTTGTTAGGGCCGCAGACTCTGAGTCGGTCTCGACGGTCGCAACAGGGACGGGTTCGTTCCACGGCCTATCGCCGGGGTGATCGTAGTGAGGGATAGTCGTGCGACGGGTGGATTGGGTAACGTGCTCAATTACCCGGTCGACATATTGTGCTTGGTTGAGGTAGTTGAAGCCTTCGGTGAAGCGGTAAATGAACACGCCTGGGTAGAGCTCTCCTACGTGTACCTCTGGGTTCGTACCGTCTTTGCGATCCAGGGGAAGAAAGACGTCTCGCGCAGGGAGTTTAGGGGATGGAGGCGACCGGCTGTGGTGGAGAGTCTGTGAACTCCTCACTGAGTGACGGTCGACATCGTGATGCTCGGTAGGGCTTCGGTCGAGATGGCGGTAGGTGCGGACGCGGCCGAGGAAGCGGCCCCTTGCGCGAGCGAGGCGCAGGAGGAGCAGAGCGGCTGAGAGGGCGACGGTGACATAGATGCCGTCTTCCAGGCTGGTGAAGATGGAGACGAATACGCCGATGAAGTAGATGAACACGTCGGGAGGGGACATGAGCCAGGACTTGAAGATGTGGTCGGGGGAGGTGATGAGGTTGATCACGGCGTGTATGATCAGGGCTGCTAGGCTTGCCATGGGGATATAGTAAAGCACAGAGGTGAGAGCGTAAAGAGCGAGGAGGAGAATAACTCCATTGAAGATGCCGGCTAATGGCGTTCTGACACCTGCTTTAGAGAGAATAGCAGTGCCGCCGAAGGACCCGGTCGAAGAGTAGGCTCCGAGGAAGGGGCCGAATAGATTAGTGCAGCCGATCGAGATTAGCTCTTGTGAAGGCTGGACTGTGTAGTTGTTAATGCGACCGAATGACTTCCCAATCGCGATGTGCTCGATTACGAGGATGATCACGGTGGCGGGGAGGTCCGGGAGGAGTGCGGAGATCAACTTCGGGTTTAGTGACGGCGGGCCGGCATGGGTGAAGCCCCTCGGGAGAGTCCCGGTGATGCGAAATCTGTGTTCACCGTCGCCCAGTCCTCTGTTGACTAGGAAACTGATGAGGGTATATAGTAGGATGGTGAAGGTCATGCGAAGTGAACACAACATCTCCCACATCCTTCGGCGCTTTGGTTGCGTCTTGGCCATGCGCTCGGTGTACCACTTTATAAGGGCAAGCAATACCAACGCTGTAAGTCCAATGGCGGCGTCGAGCTTCACGCGGGGCAGGCCGCGGGCGGTATCGATAAACACGCGGTATGCGGCGGCTTTGGAGTTGACGCCATCGATGCCCAAGAGAGACGGTATCTGACTGAGGGTAATCGTGATGGCGGCACCAGTGACGAACGCGGAGATGGCAACATGGGGTATGAATTCGATGATCCAGTCAAGTCTCAGGAGACCGAAGACCAGAAGGACAGCGCCGGCGAGGAAGGCGAGGGTCTTGGAGATTTCTTCGGGGGCGAACTCGCCGGGGTGTTCTTCGAGGACTTTGGCGCTGACTTTGCCGACGAGGAGACTGACTACGGCAGTTGCCTGTAGTTGTTAGTTGTGTATGACGGAAGCCATATTGGTCTTAGGACTTACTCCTATTGCAATGTCTTTGGATGTTCCGAACAGCCAGTATAGGGCTGCGCCGGTGAAGGAGGTGTAGAGGCCATATTCTGGGCTGAGTCGTGCGAGAAGGGCATATGCCATTGCTTGTGGGATAACCACAAGTCCAAGTGTCACACCTACTGGGTATGAGTTGACGGTCATAGAATTGCCATAGTGTTACTTGCCTGCAATAGCATCCGAGATAAGCCAACGAGTGTTGTACCTCAGAATCCACCTCGTGAAAGGAAACAAGCTCTTGACGTAACGGACCGATCCATCCTTTGTGGGCACGTGCTCCAGTAGCCATTCCTTTACTGTCGGGTCTTCCTCATAATATGGTTCGTATGGTGAGATATCGTTTGTGACATGTTCGTGTAGTTCTCGTGTTTGATGTCGTGTGCTGGCTTCTAGGTCAATGCCGAGGACCTTGGCTGCCAGCGAGCCGGCTTTGCTCGCTGCCATGACTCTCTTCTTTAAGTGGCAAAGTTTTTCTGCGTGCCTTATACCGAAGGTTGGTTTCGAAATACCAGATACGGCCTCATGGGAGGCTGTCAGTAATCACATAAAACGATGATAGGAACGAGTCTGTTCACAAAAAAGACTCTTTCTTTCAGATGAGCTGCGAAGCGGTGTGCCGGTTTGCGTATGATCTGAAGGTGACATGGGCTGGTTATAAGATGGAGCAACGGCTGTCTGGAGGGCATACCGCTCTAGAAGCCGCACCGCCAGCCGCCTTGGCGCCCGTGTTATCGGGGAGACAAGGGGGGCGCTAACTTGGCAGCAGGCCGGGGAAGGTAATCCTTACGTTTGTTGGGGTGACACGGCGATCTAGACCTTAGATTCGAATTTGCTCTTGGACGGGACGATAAGTTACTTTGAACCGCTGTTCGTCTCTAGGCTGGGTCCCTCCATGTCAGAAGCGCAGGAGGAAAAGCAAAACACATACAGGGCAGATCTCGGCGATCTGAAGCGCAAAACATCGCGGCAGTGAGCACGATCTCGCGGGGAACGGGGCGCGCTAGACGTCCCCATGATGCCGGCACGAGCTTCAGCGCTCGGGGACCAAGAAAATACTGCTTTAGTGCCTTAAGAGTGGATCCACGATGGCTTGCGGTGGATCGCGAACTTGGCTCTTTGTCGGCGAAGTGGATGATAGGGAGGCAGGGAGGCAGGTCGGGTCGGTGGTGGGTGTTCTTCTCCGGAGCGCCGACAGCCGGTCCGGGCGGGTATCGGCGCTGGATCCACGCAGGAGGACGGTCTCGGCCCCGTTTGTCGGGGATTGATGGGGTCCAGGCTCCCCTGCCTCGGGGGGAGAAACTTTTCCATCTTGCTGTATGCAACCACTCCAGCGGCGCATTTCCGATGTTTCTTTCAATGCGGCTCGTGTGAGACGGGGGGTTGGCAACACGTCAGCAACATGTCGTCGCACCCGTTGTTGGAGACTTGCCGACTGCATGATTTGAGCGAGGCAGCGCGCGTCGACCACGGCTGGATGAGAAGTCGCCGGTCGACTGCTTGCTGCTGCTGCTGGCACGGCTAGATAAGAGCCCCATGTCTCGTCCCGGCAGTCGGCCCTTTCCACGGACGGCTCCTGCGTCGTCAATCGGCGAATGGAGTTATTTTCGGTCACGCCGGTTGCCGCTAACGTCGGTTGTTGAATCTGGGGGTTGATCTGGCCCTCCTTTTGAGAGAGACGGCTCCATTGTTAGTCAAAATTCCCCAGACGACGTCAGGACGCGCTAAGACGTTGAGTCCATCCAGGTTGGCGTCGGGCCAGCCAGCTTGATTGAGCGACAGGCTCACCTGCAAACAGGCCTGTAAAGACATGATGATGCCCGCTCTACGGGTTGGGTAACTTTTACCTAAGACAACACTGCAGTGAGTCGACAGTCGCCGTCGGCGTTGGTCACGTTCTCCGGAATAGGCAGCTCGGATTCTTTTCCGTCTCCAACAGATCTTAAACTGCTTTCTGCGTACCAACAGCAAACCCACTTCCATTTGTGATCATGTTGGAACTGGCCTGATGGTCTAGAGGTATGATTCTCGCTTTGGGTGCGAGAGGTCCCGGGTTCAATCCCCGGTCAGGCCCTTCTTTTGCTTTTTGCCCACGGGAACCATCTGAGGTCGATTTAGGAGGCCAAAGTGGCTGCGTATTGACGTTTCCTGACATTTTAAACATCGGACCAGGAACGGCGACGGCGCGGAAAACATGTGGGCCCCGGAGGTGTGGAGAAAGGGGGCCCGAGCTGGGTCTTTGTTTTCCTCGTTTCCCCCCCGCGACACTTTTGGGTTTGGTCCGCGTCCTGCTCTTATTTTTTTAAGGTGATGGCTCGCCCTCACCGACTCCGAAGCTCAGCAACCTTTCTTGGTTCGCGATCAACACGTTTCTCAAAATGGTCAAGGCTTGCCTGGGTAGGTTGGGCAGCTTGCGAGCAGAGTTGCGCCAGATCAGCAAACACGCCAGTCCGGGGCCTTTTCCCTGAAGCCGAAAGTTCCTCACGAGGGCGCCGATCTGCCCAGCTTCAAGGGACCGTCTGAGTCTGCAATTGTCTTTTGAGGCATTTGGTTTTTCAATTCTCGAACCATGAAGGTGTATTTACCGCCGCAAGCGCTTCAATCAAGGTCGGTCAGTCGTGGATCTCAATTGATGAGGGCTGTCATCATGTCAGATTGCTGTCACCCCCTGTCAACTGACCGACGGCTCTCGAGGTTGTATGCAGCCGAATGTTTCCAGAACTACAGTGACGAAATGCCGTTTGTCTCCTCGCCGAAACGTACATATGTGTTCAAGGAAATGTCCAGGATGCCGTGTCTTTGGATTACCAGAAGTAGCCCAAGTCAGCAATAACCAACGTCTTTCTGGTCAGTGGGCCACCACACGTCCCTTCCGGCGCTTCCAGGAGGCCCGAGTTCTTACAGCGGCACAACCGTCTTGGGTAAGAACCGCACGCAAAGAAAGTTCTGAAATAGCATCTGATGTCTCGTCTTCGGGGATACCTCATGTGCGGGCACGTGCGGAACAGGGAACTGCTCCAGCCTACAGGCCATCTCCCGGCAGACTATTCAGATGAACGACAACGGCTGCCTCGGGTTGCCCACTCAGGTTGTTTTCTAGGAAACACCCAACGTCACCAGGCATGTTGTCGCATACCCGGCGCGGGAAGCCATGCAATGCAGCCTGCGGGAATGGCAGTTGGACCAACTTTTCGGGTTGGCCAACAGCCCTACAACAACCATGGATACTGCATGACCGCTGTCTGTCGAGTGAGACACGGCTTTCGCAGTCATACGGCAGTCCGTACTTGGCCAAACTCCGAACATCATCCAAGATATCGAATTCGAAGAAAGCAAGCTTCAAAAGCCTCAGCGTATCTGAACCATTAGAGTAGGTCCCTCGTAACCCGTGCCCCCCTGCCGACAGGTCTCTCGGCAGCCCCTGCACCTATCAGGAAGGGACCGTCGGACTGCCGACTCTTCAAAGGCGAATAAAAGGCTTCCGGCCACTTGAGATTCCGTCCTGAACATCGAGTCACGATGTCTAAGCGCAGCACATAAAGAGTTCATCTATACTACCACAGCCATGTATGTTCGGACTGGCCCGCTCGTGTAGGCCAAGGCGACCATACCATAGAAGCCGTCGCGACGCCACTGGGAAGATGTCATCCTGCTTGATAAGAAACGGTCGTCCAAATTTTGTGCAATGGATTCGCCTTATAACCAGGTCGGCGCCCCATGATTTTAGTGCGGATCTTCAGGTAGGCGCAGATCTTATTGCGGCGTTTCGGTTTGCCTCTTCCTGTTGCCAGTTTTCGCAAATCGCCCTTCAAGATGTTTGTCAGAACCTCTCATGCAGCGGTCTTGATGGCGCTGGTTGGGGGCTCGTTGGCAGACTGGATCAGTCCCGAGTTTACATCGTTCTTTCAACTTCCTTTACCGATTCCTCCCGTAAAGCAGCCCAAGTTGTAGGTATAGCTCTCTCAACCGGGTGGACATCACTGACATCGCGGCAGCTCGGTCAACAATCCAGTCACGAACAAGCCTATTGACTATTATGAGATGGAAATTCTTCCGTTCACACAGAAGATCTACCCCGACAGAGGGCCGGTCTCGCTCATAGGATACGATGGCATGTCACCAGGACCAACATACATAATCCCAAGAGGCCGGGAAACGGTGGTGAGGTTGTCCAACAAGGCAGTCAATCCAAGTGTGATGCATCTTCATGGGTCTTACACGGTGAGTCAACTGCGGCCCGGAATTCTGGTGACAATGCTAATTCCCCTTGCAGCGATCGCCGTGGGATGGTTGGGCAGAGGACACTATCATCCCAGGACAGTACAAAGATTACTACTACCCCAACAGCCAGAACGGCCGTACCTTGTGGTATCATGACCATGCTGTCGACATCGTAGGTATTTCCGACCAGCAGGACTAGATAACAGAGCTAATACTCGCTGAAGACAGCCGTGAATGACTACTTTGGTCAGGAAGGCATGTGGATCATCCATGACCCTGCGGAGGACGCGCTGGGCCTTCCCAACGAATACGGTGTCAACGATATCCCGCTCATCATCACGTCAAAGCAATACGGGGACGATGGCCAGCTATTTTCCCCGGCTGGGGAAACTGAGGGTCTGCTGGGAGACGTCATCCACGTCAACGGGCAGCCGTGGCCGTTCCTCGCTGTAGAGCCTCGGAAATATCGCCTTCGCCTCCTCAATTCCGCAATCTCAAGAGCGTTCATCTACTCATTCTACAAATTGGGAGACGAGGACGAAGAACCTATCCCCATCCCGTTCCAGGTCATCGCCTCGGACTCCGGCCTGCTCACGAGCCCTGTCACCACGAAGAACCTCGCGCAAGCCATGGCCGAGCGCTGGGAAGTTATCTTCGATTTCACCCCCTTCGCCGGGCAGAAGATCACCATGATGACGGAAGACGAACGCAACATCGGAGCGCAGTCGAGACACAAGAAGGGCAGAAAAGGCAAGGGCAAAGATGAAGACTACTTGACGCCCGTCATGCAGTTTGTGGTGAGCCCCACGCCCGTCGCCGACAAGTCTCTTGTTCCCGGAGAGTTGCGCGCCGTGCCGTTTCCACCCCAACTCCCCGACCTCATTGACCACTACTATTTGTTCCACCAAGAGGATGAGCTCTGGAAAATCAACGACGTCGTCTTCAGCGACAAGGCAAACCGCATCCTTGCAAACGTCCCTCGCGGCACGGTTGAGATATGGGAGATTGAGAACGGGGCCGGCGGCGGCTTCCTGCATCCCGTCCACGTCCACATGGTCGACTTCCGCATCCTAAGTCGCACCAGCACTGGCAAGTGGGCAACCGACCGCGGCGTCTTGCCGTACGAGGAAGCCGGTTTGAAGGATGTAGTTTGGGTCGGCGTCGGCGAGGTCGTTCGTGTCGAAGCCCACTATGCGCCGTGGGATGGCGTCTACATGTTCCATTGCCACAACCTGATCCACGAAGACCATCAGATGATGGCGGCCTTCGACGTCACGACTTTGAGCGACTTTGGGTACAAGGAGACGGCGTTCAATGATCCCATGGAAGGCAGGTGGCGCGCCGTGCCAATCACCAAGGCCGATTTCACCGTGGACGCCATCACGAAGAAGATTGTCATGATGGCAAAGCTCCAGCCCTACGGTGATGTCGGCGACATTGTACGAAAGCTGGACCAATACTGGGCTTCTCGAGGCGGACTTCACCAGAACCCTGGCATAGTCAACGATGAAGCAGCCAAGAAAAAGGGGGCTCAGGAGGCAGCCAAGAAGGACACACCCAAAAAGGACGGAGCCAAGGAAAGCGCGACTAAGATGGGCGGTGTTAAGATGAGGCGGGTTAAAAGGGCCGAGATCGTCATGGATGAGACTGAATGATAGACGGAGGGGACAAAATTAGTTTTCCTCAGCGAATGCGCGGTGTAATGTGTAAGATCTAATTTCTATGTTGTGGGCGGCTGTACAACACTGGATGCGCGATGGGTCAGGACTCGGGAGCATCTTCGATTTGCCTGTATATATATCTTAATGTTGGCTCCTTATCTTGCGAATCAAATTCGTGATATTTATCTATGAGAACTTTCTAGGAATAACTGAAGTATTGACCAGGTCTTCGTACTAATCATGCTCGGAGGCCGGAGTATTCGGCGTCCGCGATCAATCTTCACGAATATTGACTGGCTCCAGAGGCTCCGAAGATAAAGTCAAATCATTCTACATTATATCACATAGTTGTATGAGTCCAGTCTTTGAAGAATCTGCGCACATGCTGAGGCCATATAGATTTAGACGCATATCGAGAGGCTAGCCTGCTGGGCATGGTATACAAATGCCAAAACTAGGGTATATAACCACCAATCGTAGAATCTCTTAGCTATCTAGACGGCATTTCACAGTTTGGGTGACGCCATCACTTGACGAACCGGATGAGGGGAATTATCGTGTCAAAGAACGGCTCCCTTCTATGTATTCGACCATCACTCAAACCCGAATCAATTTTCTCAAGGCCACCTACGAGTACATGAGTTTTTGGAATCTGTCCGTACTTCGGTTTTTCACCTGACGTAAAGATGTAACATGTTGTATCGCGCGGTAGACGTAGTGTTTCTAAAACTGGCCCAATGACACAGCATTGCGAAAGCGAAGTAGCAAGGACCTGCCCTTAACGGCGACCCATTTCCGTGTCGATCGTCCATCTGCAGGTGGCTGACACCCCCTTTATGCCTTATGATTGCAAACTGGTAATTTCCGCACTACGTAGAATGTTACGGGGCGTACGGAGTAGTGACCCACGTAACTCCGCTGCCGGCGGCTCCCGAAAGAGGCTGACCTGCCGGCGGCAATGCAGGCTGAATTTAAGCTTGTGTCAGTGAGGTTAAACACCCTTGAAGGATCTCCCCATTCATGCTGGGGTACAGGCCTCTAGCACGATCTCACGGGTCCAAAAAAGACCCGATGTATACTTAGACATAGAGTGAATGCGGGCAGAAAGTTTAGCCGCCCATACTTATTGATGCCGAGAAGTCTGAATGTTATTTTCAATATTGTCCTGTAAACCGTCTTCTTGGAGACGACTTGATATGCAATAGGCCGGAATAGACTCTTAAATCTAACTATCTCTTCCTCGGGGACACCTCCTGGCGAATGCATAGGCTGGCAACATCTTTCAGGTTCATTTCATGATTATCAATCCTTGAGGACCACCTGTCGGAGCCACCTGCCCCATCAAGCTTCCACCGTTGAAACCCATATACACTTCTGATCAGGTATCCCGCCGGCTGACATATGACGCAATACCCCCGGTACGGGCCGAACGAGCTCACATACGCCGAGTAGTATGTTCATCGACAAGTTTGGTTACTCTGAATTTGGCTCACAAGTGGGCACTGTGGTGGCTTAGTCTTTGACGTAGCCGATGGGATGGGGAGGGCAAATAGCCTGGCGGACTTGGAGCGTGATGTCAAGGGACTAGCTGTGGCACCATGAGATGTCTGCCAAGAGTCGGTTTCCCCGAAAATGGGGCATCGTCCTTCATGGCCATATTTTTTCGCCTGATGTCTGGTGAATACAGCCCTAACAGCTAGGAGTTTATATACAACAGTCGTGGCTTGCCTTCGTGTCGATCATCAGCCTCAAGACCTTCATTATTCTGATTCATCCATCTCACAGTCATTACTATTGTTCAGGTTTCAGGATGCTGTCTCTCGTTCTTCTCAGCGTCCTAGCTCAAGGGCTGGCAGCCAGCCCCGTCAACAACACCTTCCCTTTCCGCCAACAATGCCTTTCTTTTGCCAACGCTACCACCATTGCCGGAGCTGCTTCTGTCTCGACAGAGTTTGTCGCGGCGGGAACAACGCTGGAATTTCCCAACGCTGATGCTAGCTGTGGTCGCCCCTCCCAGACCGTGTCAGCGGATCTATGCCGTCTTACAGCTCAGATCGCCACTTCGAATCGCTCCGGCCTTAAGTTCGAGGCCTGGCTTCCCCAGAACTGGACTGGCCGCTTTCTCAGCACTGGCAATGGTGGCCTTGGTGGTTGTATTCAGTATGAGGATCTTGACTACGCTAGCTCCTTGGGCTTTGCTGCTGTCGCTACCAACAATGGCCATGACGGCGCGAGTGGCGCTTCATTTTTGAACAATCCCGACGTGATCGAGGATTTTGCCTACCGAGCGCTCCACACGGGCGTCGTCGTTGGGAAAGATGTCAGCAAGTCGTTCTACGGAAAGGCTCACACGAAGAGCTATTACCTGGGCTGCTCAACCGGTGGCCGTCAGGGCATGAAGGAAGCACAAGCATTCCCCGAGGACTTTGACGGAATTGTCGCTGGGGCACCCGCGTTCTCTTTCAACAACCTTACATCGTGGTCCTGCCACTTCCTCCCCCTCACTGGACTTGAAGGAGCCGACACCTTCATCCCGATGACGATGTGGCCCACAATCCATGACGACATTCTTAAGCAGTGCGACGACCTCGATGGCGTTGCCGACGGCATCCTGGAATCGCCTGACTTATGCGACTACAAGCCGGATGGTCTGCTCTGCGAGGGATCCAACTCAACAGACTGCCTTACTCAAAAGCAAATCGAAACCCTACGTGCTATCTATTCGCCCCTTCTTGATGCCGTAGGTAGCCTGGTCTACCCTCGCATGCAGCCCGGCGCCGAGCTCACGGGTGCTCCGCAAACCTACTTCACCGGTCAGCCTTTCGGCGCCGCGGACTGGTTCAAATACGCCATCTTCAACGACTCCAACTGGGATCCCATCACCCTCAAGCCCGAGGACTACGTTACTTCCTCCACATTGAACCTCTTCAACATCGAGACGTTTGACGGTGATCTCTCTCCCTTCCAGAAACGGGGTGGTAAGCTCCTGCATTACCACGGTCTGGTCGACGGGACCATTTCGAGCGACAACTCCCCCAGGTACTATGAGCACGTTTCGAAGACCATGGGCCTTGAGCCTGCAGCCCTTGATGAGTTCTATCGCTTCTTCCGGATCTCAGGCATGGCCCACTGCGGCGGCGGCCCAGGTGCCACCTTCATCGGCAACCAGGCACAGAGTAATGCAGGCCTTGACCCGGAGCAGAATGTCCTAATGGCAATTGTCCGCTGGGTGGAAGAGGGGGTCGCTCCGGAGGCTATTTTGGGTACTGCGTTTGTCAATGGCACGCAGAGTGCAGGCGTTGACTTCAAGCGTAGACACTGCAGATGGCCCCGTCGAAACGTTTTCCAAGGCGGAGACTACAAGGACGAAAACTCATGGGCCTGCGTTGAGTAACTTGGGTGACAGGAATGTTGTGTGGGCAAGAGCATGTCAATCACTTTGTACATTTAGTTGTAGGCAGGTCGACTGAAGAAAGTACATAATCAGACACGGCTTGTGTACGGCAGGTCAATATCACGAGGCCCGAAATTGTCACTCTATATAAGTGCAACATTGTATTGATAAGTGAATCAAGAGAAGAATCTCCCTTAGACTAGTTGAGGGACCATACTTCAGTGTGGTCAAACATTATCGATGGACATCCAGCGCCTAGCATGATTTCCTTGGCTGATGACGAAGCAGATCAAGTTTGAAACCAGCTCGGAAGCATGGACTGATTGAAGTTGAAAGGGCATACGACTGCCGGACAAATGCAACCTGCACCTTTCTCCTGAGCCACGCACTTCATGGCAGGTTCGTTCGGGTTCGGGTCGCAGCAACAGCAGAGCTCTTCCGCCTGACTGGGTCGGAATGGACAGCGGGTGTCGGGAACATTGCAGATAGGGGCGTCCGAGACTTTGCAGGTGATGACCTCGAGGTCATAGTCGCAAGTACAACAGTCTGCGTCTGGCTTGACCTCAGTCTGACGGCCTGCAATGATTGAGGCTTGAATGCTGCTAGCAGCTACAGTGATGGCGATAATGATGCGTGAGAAGTGCATGGTGTCGGAGTTTCGTCAAGCTGGTTATGTAAAGGGATAATCTTTCGGCGGAGGTTGCGGGTTTGTTGATATTCTGCAGAGCTGTGTTTGTTGACATTTAATCTTGATGAACTGGTTTGCTTGGTCGGGTTTATATAGCTTCTTGAAAAGGGTATCAGGAAAGCTTTTCACAGCTGGAAGTCCCACAAGTGCCCTCGTTTAGTTGCTTGATTCATTTTACTGAATTCGTCGATTTCGTGTAAGCATCCAGTGGGAACGATCGTACTGCAACGAATAACCTGATCCGTCAACTTTACTGCCGGAGTCCCTAAGGCCGAGGTTGCTTGGGGTTCATGTCTTGAAAGCCTCAAGCACTGCCCCCTTCGAATCCTTCAGCACCGATAAACCTATAGGCTATTAGGACTATTGTCAGACAATCAACTTTCGATTCACAGGCTGAGTAAGATCTAACCCAAGTTAGCAAATCGAAGTCGTACACAAAACAGTGCGCGACATTCGATCCGTCCGGTGTAAACTAACAGTCATGGATTGTAATCCCCACGAAATCTGCCAATCATCAATTTCAACATCGCACAACACGTGCACCTTTCACAATGCAAAAGGTGGTGATTCTGGACTTAGCAACCTTCAAAGACAATGTCAAAGCCCGCGTAAAAAGGCCACACAGTAACACACGATACCTTGAGGAATGCGAGTGGTTGCATATAGCGAGTACGACCGATTGGCAGACGGAAGATCAATGGGATTGGTCAGTCTTCGCCTTAGGCAATGTTTACATTGAATATTGGATTGTCGTAGGTTATACAAGGTGAAACGCTAGCCCTCTGTTACCAGCTTTCTCAACAAGAAACAAAACTTAAACGGTCAAAATGTCATTCCTTCGCATCTTCGACCTGTGGCCTCAAATATGCCACTGTCCAGAGCCACATAACATCAGCCCTGGACCCAAGGCGGAAGCATGTATTTGCCGAAGTTATGCAGGCACCTGACTTCCGGGCAGATACATCCCGCATCTCGGTCAACGAGCGAGCATTTTGTTGACTCCTCCCCCGGAGTAGCATCGCAGCAGCAGCACAGCGTCTTCTTCTCGTTGGGTCTGAAAGGACAGCGAGTATCCGGTATGGCGCTGCAGCTATCTGCGTCAGAAACTTTGCAGATCCATCCTTCAATGTCGTAGCTGCAACTGCAGCAGTCTGCATCTGGCCAAAAGTCTTGACGGCCTCCAAGGGTTGCGGCTTGAATTTTGCCAATGATGGTGACGGCAACGACGAGAAACTTTGAAAGCTGCATGATGTCGATGAAGTAAGACTGTTATTGAGCAAGGGACGGGTGTACCGGAAGAATCAAGGCTATAGATCTATGAACAGAGATTGCGAATGCGAAAATCCGTATCAGGAGAGCACGCTGCTTAAATAGCCATTTCTTATCTGACCCCAACTCTTACAATCCGCGTTATGATGAGTGAATGTCTCAGGCCTTTCAGCACCTTTGCCTATTTGAGAGAAAGCTCGTATAAGTTGTCCAGTTGCTGATCTCTTCAGCTTGGCATGAAAGGCCAAGTCCCCGATGATTCCCGAAGTCCTGGAAAAGTCAGTGACCTCGGATTTAGGCCGTAAGAAGTAGGCGGTAGATAACCAGAAAAGGATTATCACAATTTTAGTTGCCCGAGAATTAGGGTTTTATGAATGCTCGGGATCTGGATTTTGCTCCTCGAACGCCCATACGAGACTTAGCATAATAGAGCTAGACAGGATTGTATATCACCCATTACGACAATTCTTACATTACGGCAGCCCGAAAGATGCCTTTCGATGTGCTTCTGAACTATTCATTGGATGAACTTGTTTAACATCCTTCACTTTTTCTGACAAGCTCGCTACGCGTCAGAAGCCTCGAACAAACCATTTCGATGACTTTTCATACACACGAGGGCCACTCAAGGTATTAAAGATCTCCTAAAAATCCAGTTCTACAGCATAACCAGCTCTGAAATGAGGGCTGAAGCCAGCTTGCTATTGAACACAATGAGGGACGAAAGTTCTGCAACAGAGATAACAGCTCGAGGTAGTGCTTCTTCGATACAAGGACGAACCGACACCAACAGCTGACCAATCTTTGAAGACTCTTGCCCCACGATCAAGACCAAACCCCAAGCTAACCTTGCAAAGAACTACACCAAAGTTTCGAAAGGCCATGTGTCCCAAAGTGTTTGAATCCAAGAAATCGGGAACCACGCCGAAAGATTTGCTGCATTCTTCCTCAACTTGCCAGAAATTGTGACCGCTTAGGACGAGGTCGAAACCTGAGAGTTAACGGGCAAGAAAATGGGATCCCATGAGAAAGGACACGCTACTGCTGGACAGATGCATTGGTTCTTGGCGACTGGCTTACATCTCATGGCGGGGATGTTTGGGTCGCAGCAGCAGCACATCTCCTCTGTTTCAGGGTTTGGTTTGAAAGGGCAGATGACGGTAGCGGTAAAGCAGCCACCTGGAGGAGGGACCGTGCAAACATGGGACTTGTTGTTGAAGTCACAGCCGCAGCAGTTGGCGTTGGGCCCTGGCATTTGGCGCTCTGCAAGGGGGGAGGCCTGGATGTTGACCGCGGCAGCAAGAAGCGTGAGAACAACCGACGAGAACTGCATTTTGTGCGAAGCGGGTCTGATTTAGACTGAAGAAATTGTGTGTGTTTGTGATGATCCTTTCTTTCCTGTGGGTACCTGCTTGGTTTTATAGACGTCACACTTGTAACCCACAAGGTGGTTATAGGGCATAGACTTGGTGGCGCTTTTACAAACATGGCAAAAGAAGTCATGATCTCATCCTTTTAACCCTATTGGGTAGCTTTCGGGTGTCGGCAGGTCGTATATGCCTCGCCAAGTACCAGCCTCAACGCCATAGTCACGGGCGTGAGACAGAATAGCCATTCGCTCCCTTGGCGGGAACATGAATGACGGCCATGTCTTGAGGAAGCAAAATATTCTAGTTCGACGACTTCCCCGCAGTGAAAGCCACCCGACATGCCGATCTCAAATGTAATAACTAACTCGCTCTCACGAGTCTCGGCCAAGGCTTCAGTGGCTTGCGGCAGGCTTGAACGTTTTATCCGGCAGGGAAGTCGGAGTAAGGTTTTATTCCTTCCGGAATATCATATCCCATAAGCAGCCTTTCGGGAGAAGGGCCGAGGAGAGAGCTGACATGTCTCAGCCCATGGAATGGAAAGCGTCAGATTCGGCGTCAGCGTACCAAAGCCGGGCAACGGCGAAGGATCCAGCCACTTAAATTTATGAATTTGACCAGCGATCTCGAATGACTTCTCTTCTCCAGGACGGAAAGTCCTGTTCCATTAGTAATTAGTTTTGGGTTGGTGACGATCGTAATTTTGGGATAGTCTCGATACCAGTCATTACTGTACACTCCACGTGCCAAAGTAGAACATGAACGTACCGCTAAAACTTGAGCTTCTCTTACTCTTTTCCAAAGATAGATGGAAAGAAATGCCGTCGAAGAAGATATGCAATACGCTACCAGATGGCTTGGTGGAAGGAAGCGACGCGCAAAGCCAGGACAGGTCACTGTCCGGCTCTCCAATAACGACCATGGCCATGAATGTGTAGATGTTGTTGCAAAGCGACATCTGTATTAATCTTTGAAGTCTGGTAACATTACTAAACTACCTCATGGGCGGGAAACCGCAATTGGCTGGAGGTTGTCGACGTGAGGTCCGAAGTCGTGTTGTTGGCAATCTCACCATGCTGAGCCCATCCACCGTAGACTCCAGCGACAACGTCGGTCTTAGTCACGCCACCCCTCTGCTGTCAATTCTTACTACCTGTACCAAAAGACGTCAGGGAGATTGTCCCTACTATTTATCATTAATGGAAGATAGACCTATGTTCAACTAGACACCGTCACATCTGACATCAAGGAGGTAGAAATCGTAGCATGCAGCAGACACGCCATGGGAATTTGTTCGGTCAATAACGGGAGAAGAGGATGTTCATTGGCTGCTCGGCCGACGAATACGTTCCAGGCTGTTGTTACTGCAAAGGAGTAGCATGGGCGTCCAAACGTTTCATGTTTTCAAGCGCTCGCTCCACATAGAAGCAGGTGGATTCGAAAGAGTAATCCTTCCTGCCGTGCGGCGAATCTACCCCATCAACACCGACACTTGGTGCGGCATGAGGTCAGATATCAGGCTCCTGCGCCTGTCTACAATCTTCTTCCTCGTGCCATCTGAATAACGAGAGGCAAATGCACTCTGAGGAGGAACCGGAAACCCGTGGATGGTGGCTATGATACCATGTCACCAATCCAACGCTGTCGTCTTTGTACACGAAGGTCAGCTGCCCCCAGTATCCTTGTCCGCGCTTTGGATTTGCATGCTGATTCGGAGAATAGCCACTGTTGTTCAACAGCAAACAACAGTGCGACGTACTTTCTTGCCTGGGTACTGGTGACATTACCTGTGTGCACCGTGTACTGGCAATCGGCTACATCTAGCCCTTGCCGATGTTTGCTCTAGCGTCCGCTCATGAATACGCCCGCGCACACGGGTCGGGCAGGTCCTTCAGAATGGCGTTGTGGGGGTGGAGACTACTTTCGACACTGGGGTGATTCTCAAGAGTTGGCCATGTCAACAGAGACTTCCCAAGGTTGTTTCTCGTAGGATTAATTCGTCGATGCCACTTCTTCCACTCAAGAGCGACAACTACCTTGAATGAACAAAACATGGAGACAAAAGCTGAACCAGTCCCGTCTGTTCTGGTAAGCAAATACTGACGTGTGGAATGTCAGATTTTGACATCAATTCATAAAGCTGACCTTCCTTGAAGCTCCAGCAGAAAGTGCCGCGTGCACTGGGAAACTATGGCGTATTCGCGATTTTGTTACCGGTCCTGGCTTTGGTGATGACCTTCGCATTTCCAAAGCTGTCTTTGCCAGTTGGATTCAAATGGAAACAATTGATGATCGGACACCCATCGACTGTTCTCACAACTACTCCATCGAAATTCTATCGCTTGACCCCGTCGTTTTGTACATCAACAACTTCCTCAAGGACCAAGAAATTGAGCATTTGGTTCACGAATAGTGAGATAATAGCAATCCAAGCCGTTCTATCTTAAAAATACAGTCCTTGCTATACTGATCGTCTTTCAATCGACAGCTCAAAAGACCTCGAACACTCCCTTGTCTACGACGACAACCTCTCACCCACTATTGATCGATCTTATCGAACATCCGACTCAGCTAGAATTCCACACACTGACCCGGTTGCATCCTGTCTCACCACCCGCATGCGCAGCTTTCTCGGGAACATCCAACACATCGACATCGAGCCGCTCCAGCTCGTGAGGTATGATGTTAGTGAGAGATTCAAACTGCATTACGACTGGTTTTACAAACTCGCGGAAGAGACACATCTAGAACACACTCCAAATCGACCGTACAACCGCTTGGGTACTATCTTTGCGTACCTAGGGGACAACTGCACTGGAGGCGAGACGTATTTTCCGGACATCAACGGTGTGGCCTCGGATGCGGATGGTGAGAAGTTTTCCAGGACGGACACGGGCATGGGTCTTCTGGTGAAGTCCAAGAGAGGGAATGCCATCTTCTGGAACAACGTGCACATGAACGGCAGCGGAGATTATCGCATGGTGCATGCTGGATTGCCTGTCCATTCAGGGCAGAAAATTGGATTGAATATGTTTAGTTACTATTATCCTGATTCTCCGATTGTTGGAGAAAACCGATAATAGTCTCCAGTCAGATATCCAGCTTCCTAATGGACTGGCTGCTCTGGAATCTGAATTTATTGCCTTTTTGGGGGACATGATAAACATAGTGGGTATCGTGGGGGTATGTTGTAGTCTTCTCATGACACACCAGGCAAAAGTCGGTTTCCAACGTTCTTCGAAGAGACCGGTTATCATACTTACTCTAATTCACTATCTTCGTCTTTATTATGACTATCGTCTTCGTGATCGTTGTCGCCGTCGTCATCCGTCATACAAATAGTTGATTACGTACATTGGAAAGATAGCCGCCCAGATACAAGAAAAAAATAAGTGATCTCTACCCGAATTCCATTCCACCACAAGCGAATCCAAAAACCCGCTAAATCTGTTGACTTTCATGAAACCATTGCAGTAAGAAGGCACATTTACTACTGTACATGCTTACAGCGGCGGGCATCAATACTCGATGGAACAGTAAATTTCTTTGTTTTACCCCTCCCGAAGACATACAGTGCTGATATTGAGCGGTGTGATTGAGACCGCATGAGATTCGCTGCAACTTTGAGTTGTCTTATCTTTGCTATCATTGCATGTATCCTAGCATTTGAAGACCGACAAGGTGGCAAACGAACACTTGTCAAGTCGACCTTGAGCCGGACGAGGGCTTGAGCCACAATGGCCTACGTTGTATCACCCTGTGCTGCCCCAAGCATGTTTGGTCATGAGTGCATGTCAAGATCACCTTTCCGTACCGGAGGCAATACGAATTTGACTCCTGGTTAAATGCATGTATCAACGCTTGTTGGTATTGCTTCTCATATTCAGGCTGCGTTATCATGGCAGGGGAGTTGCAAAAGGCCCCCACGAAGACAATATGCACCTGACTGAATTGTTTGCCAAGATCCAGCGTAATCAGCGACACCGTCTTCAGTGGCTACAAAGGCCCTGGTCTGGACAGGCATCTCTTTTTCGTGCCAAGAGGTTTGCGTTGCAATTCGACCACAAGTTGCAGAGTCTCCCAATCGTGTTTATGCCCGCGGTTCAGTCTAGCTGTCGTACTGGCTGTTGGAAAGGTGGCGTATTTCACCGTCTTCATTGTTGTCCCTCCACTGAGAGCGATCGCCCGGGAATAGCCCAACACAGAGGCGGCACTGCGAACCTCAGGCCCAACAAGATTTATCGATTCTCAGCTCGAAGACATCTCCTTACAGTGGGTGCTCGGTGAAGGAGGTGCCAGAAGCCCCGCATCTCATCCATTGGAACTCCAGAAAGCTGATGGATCTTGGGGGCAGCTGAGAAACTAACACCTTGGTGAAAGTCTGACAGGTCATGCCGAAGTCTGAACACTACTAGAACCCGTACATTTCGATTGATATAAAAGACCTTCAAAAGCCTCCATGCCTCCAAGACCTCTTCTCCTCGTCATAATCTCATCGCAAGCAAGTTACTCCTCAACCAGCACACTTTTCCAACTACAAGACCTTCAATCATGCAGTTCAATACCTTCACCCTATTTGCTCTTTTGAGCGGTCTCAGCCTCGTTCTCGCCGCCCCCGAGGTGGTCAAATTGGCTAATCTTGAGGCCCGCTCTGGTAATGAGTTCCACGGTCGTAGGTTACGCATTATCCGTCAATACAGATAGCACACTGACGACTAAAGCCACCAACTCACCCTCTAGCGACCGCCGAGCGATCCCTGTCGACGAGGAGTAAATCGCTGTCACAATCAATAGCCCACACAAGGTAGCTCAGGGGGCATGATGTGGACTCTGGGATTGGAATTTCATCGGTGGAAAAGAGTGAATGTTGAGGCTCGTTCGTCAGGAAAGGGTCAACAATATGCGCTCAAGAAAATGTAGCAGCTTCTGTTCTCGTACATGCGGCCGCCAACTGGTCGATCTCAGATTTCGTCAATAATGCAAGTTGTCTCCCCACCTGTGTTTGAACGTCACTCGGATTATAGCCAGCTACGAGGAGCTATACGCAGCTTAGAGCACCTTGCTCGTTTTAAGAGCTGCTTCCTGAACTGAAAGCGATCATTAGAACGCTAGATATGTCCATGATCAATTGCTGGCTTATCGCCATGCGGGCTTCCTTTCCGAGTAATCTCATTCATTTGACTTGCCACTCTATCGTTCAGGTGCAGCCGGAGTATCTGCCGCCCCCAAATCGCGCGACCATGGTGAGCAATGTAAGCCGGGAGTCGTTAGAGGCTGCAAATTCATGAGGCATGGACTTTGTGCCGGCGGCTGGAAGTGAACTAGCGACATCTGGGCTCTCGAAACCTTGCCATGTACATGTCACTACACCACGCTGGCCCACATCTTCCTGCCTACAAATTAAATTGCAGTATTCAGGAAGTAAGCGTTGTTCGGAGATTTCCACACATGTGCCCGCGAACTCAGGTTTTACTAGTGGATCATGCAAGAATCATAAGCTCACAGTTGAGGCCATATGGCTTGTAAGGCTTAAAACAAGAGTTCGAGCCTAGGTACTGATCTGGATTTCCGACGGCCGTTTTTCGGCGGCCGATCAAGAAATCCAGATGCGCTTACTGTTCTCTGGACAAGCGTAAGTTTGATATGCCTTTCTTGTTTGCGGGGTGATAAAAGCCTGAGGTTCAAATCGGAAATCCCCCGCACATCCATGAACCCCACTAAGACAGCGAAAGCCAAGCTCCAAATCATCGTTCAAGACCGCACGTTGCGATCTATCGGCTCATCGCCAGTTCGGCGCCGTACCGGACCAGCCCGCCGCTTACAAAGTTATCGACCGCGTCATATCTTACGTGGGTTGTCCTCCCCCTTCTGTGATGGCATTGAAGGTGTGCGGAGTGAGGGTAGGGATGTCGTTGAATTGTGTGATGTCGACTACGTTGAGGCGGACTGCGGAGAATTGGGTCAAAGAGTGTCATTGGTGAATGAGGGGATGGAGAGGGGTAATACGCCTATCTCGGCTTCTATGGTCTTCTCAGATACCAGCTCATCCCTTAAGGTTTCGACTCTGGGCGGGGCGGGACCAGTCACCCCACCACAGCTGGGTGAAAGCTTGCTAGGGAACTGATTTTCTTTCTGAACATGCTATTTCGGCAAGTTTTGCTCGTTAGAAATGCCGCATTTCGTCCTCGCTGCTCTAGCGTAACTCAATGTCAGGAACAACACAAAAGCTCTAGCTTAACTCAATATCCGCGCTAACAAGAATCTTAACCGGATGGTTAGCTGTTTTCCAAGTCGATGCTTTTCCCGGTCGCGTGGGAGCGAGTCATGCATGAAATGAAGCTTATCCTTTTCTCAACAGAAAGGAATCTCGGTATAACAGATTTAAGCAGCATTGAATCCACCTGGTTAATGATTTTAGTTCTCTGTCTCTGCAAGGTATCTTAGCCCTCTGCTACCTTATATTGTCATTTCACGATCAGGTGAAAGCCGGTTCTGAAAAATGCTCTTCGCTATCATTGTCCTCTTGGAGGCTCTTGCAGTTTCTGTAGCTGCACATCCTATTGTCATCTCCCCCGACGTTTCCCCCGACGTTGCCCCCGAACGCCCTTACAACTGGGCGCCAGTGTTCAGACATGGCAAACTCCCCATCGCTATTGATATCAAAGCAGGGGAAGAAGGTAAAGTTGAAAGAGCCTCAAGACCTGTGCAACTGGTTCTGACGTCCTACCTAGTCACAGATGAGCCCGACCTTCAACCTAGGGACGAGGCCGCGCTTGATGCCCTTGTCTTAGATAATCAAGATGCCGGGATGTCCAATCAGCAACACGACAAGGAGATAACTGACGTCCCTCTCAATGATGCCCCTTCCATCGCATCAAGGGCCAATAAGCCCTCGAAAGCTCAGATCAAGGCCGACGACAAGAAGTTTCACAGAGATCAACTGAAACCGAACGACGCCAAATACATCAACAACCTCGACAAACTCAATGCTAAAAAGTGTGGTGGAGGCTGCCAGACCTCCCTAGACTCTCAGCGCTCCAGGAACAGCAAGGCGCAAAAGATTAAGGAGGGCCAACCAAAGCTCCCCGGCTCAAGGGCATCGAGAGGAGAAGTCAATACTAAGCAGGATGATTACAATCACGATCTGAATCACCTGCGTCAGGATAGAGGTGATATAGGTGTTAACGGTAAGAAGTCCCTCGATTCATGGCATTCTGTCGAATCTGCCAATTCGAAGGCATCGAAGGCATCGAGAGCAAAGAAGGAAGCAGCAGCCAAAGGAGGTCACCATGGCTGAGTAGCTGAGAAATGGGTTGAACCAGCAACACGTGTGTGGATTTTAACGCGCTGAAAGTTCGAACCGTGTTTCGCACAACTATCAGGGAAGGAAACGATCAATAGTTTGGTTGGGATAGGTTTTGTAGCAAATGAAGTGTCGCAATATTTTGAATTGGTCCACCACTCCCGTGTAAACTGTGACATCTGACCATTACTAGTAGCTATGCAAATGATAAGCATGCAGTGAGAGTGATAAGCATGCAGTGAGAGTGAGATTAAGTGAATAGTTGCATGAGATGGTGCATTGCTGCTTTGCCGAGTAAAAGTCGCAGATCTCCACTCAGATTCCCGCAGTTTATTATGCATCAAACGGAAGCATGGGCGCTTCTTAGACGTTACTCATGGGTGTGGCGTGATAGAGAAGACAGTTACTAGTCAAGCGTTGGAGTACGTCGCACATGAGAATACCATTCGCACTAAACTGACTGCTCGAAAGGCCTCCAGTCCATATCCCAAAACCAGATATTTAATCCAACTTTCTCACCAGACTTTACCGGCAGAGAGGCATGTCGAACACCACGATGAAAGCTGCCATTGGCATGCATATTCTCCCAGTAGACCGCCGAACCAGCAACTGGTTTGAAGGTAGTTCCTTCGTACTCTGTCTCGTCGCAGTCAATGATGCCACACCATCGCTGATCAACAGGTTTGTCGATGCGGGGAAAGTTGGTGCCCCCGCCAGTGCATGAGTCGTTGAGATACACCATGAATGTCGCCACACGGTTTCCCTCAAGAGTCATCTTGTCCCAGTCGTAATGAAAGGAGTAGTAACCGTTGAAGCCGTACCGCTGGACCTTGAGGTCTTCGATGAAGGTAGAGTTGTTGCACCAACCCCTAAAAGAGGTCGCTCTTCTTTTGATACGTCGTGTGATGATATCCGGTTGGAGGATTGCAGATTCTGAGATGCGGGTCTTGGGATTGACGAAGTGTTCTGGGCGGTTGTACACCTTAGATGGCTCGAATCTACGTTCACTACACACCGCTAGTCAGCTTCCTGACCCAATTGATCAAAACACGACTTCATTACCTGGCTGCAAGAACGTGAGATATTTCGTCTTGGTTCAGAAAGTCGTGAATATAGATAATGAGGGGATCTTGTGAGACGATTTGAGTCTCATAACGATGGGCAACTGCGTGAGCTGGATATTTTGAGGGTGGAGGGGTTGACTGCAACCTGGATTGAATAAAAGCAACTGGAGACAGGCTTTCCATCAGATAAGACAGAACGCTTGTTGGCAAAATGTAAATCAAAACGAACCCAAGCAAGCCAGCAAGAACCGCCGGTGCAATTCTCTGGATAGGAGACCGGTTGCAGCGCGCGAAAAGAGATGGCATTGCGTGTAGATGTTGATGATTTGAGCCTAGGTAGGAGAGACAGTATCAGTGGTCAAAATGAATCTTTCATCAATGAACAGGGTGAAGCAGAGTTTCAAAAGTTCTGCCAGGTAGTTTGCTGTTGACGCAGGGTGAGGTTCTGCTGGCCATGTTGCCCCACATCTCTCAACAGATAGCCTAGATGGAACAAGGTTCCAAGTCCCATGACATGCATAGACACTCCAGAGGGTAAATGTTTGTACGGTAATCATTGCTCAATGCCGTAACTGCAGTGCCAGAGATGCAGTTTGCTCTTGCATGTGCCAAAGTCTCAGCGTTCAAACATCTGGACCAGCCTTGTCCCCTCCCGACCGCTTGGGAATCGCACCTTAGGCGCATTGAGCAACTGGCATGAATGAATGTTGTGATACTACATGCACTGTGATTATTCTCAAGTTCTACAAGACTCACCCATAACAGGTAATCGTTGCGAGGACGCGAGGTCTTATCAGCTTTCATGCTGCGCCGCTCTGGTATGCAGAGTTCAAGAGCTTTGCCGCCGATGGCTTGCACTAAACGAAACTGCGGAACATTCTTTGTTTTCAAGGAATAAGCTGTGAGTATGTCAACGGACATGGGAGAGCTTGAGCAGCAAAGTCATAGCTCGTAGTAATGGATATTCTAGACATACCTAGCCCATGAGACAGCACTCGTCTAGGCCTGATAGGAAGAGGCGTCTCCTCTAGAGCAAGAGCGGAGACATGTAGATAAAGGGAATATTGTTGCACAGGCCGGATTGTGGGTCTTTCACAGTGCGATACATCCCAACAGATCCAAGCAATACTTCTAGGTGTAGTAATTTCTTCTTAGGCCACTGTGTAATTATGCAATGATACACCTCGACCCTTCGAGAACCCTCGGAGGATCTGTCACCCGACATTCCATCAAGCAGCACGTCCAGAGATACGGCCAACGGGAATGTTCTTGGTAGTCGTCAGGGTCAAACACACTCCCGGTGAATGCACCACGACGCTCCCAACAGAACTTCACGTTCACAACCCCTAAGATCTGGATCGATATGGAGTCTGTCGGAAGGATTCGTCCCCATTTCGTTTGTAGAGTACTTCGGAAGGAAACCCCCAGACACGCAATATTTATATGGGCTTCGAGGACTTGCATCAGTTCTGGTATACTGGCATCACCACGTACTATGGTTCTACTGCGACTATCAACAAGTCCTTGAAGGCGCATTTAACTACTATCACTAATACTATCTCGCCACACTTCCTGGGTCACGACTATTGTTCAATGGGGACATCTTGCATTCGCATCAACCAAACTTCTTCAGTATATACATTCTCGCAACTACTTGGCCTTCGCAAAATCTTTGTCTTCCTCTGTTTCCAGAATCGAATGAAATAGATCAGTCCTCACATTCAATATCGTAGTTATACTCTAACTGCGGTGCAAGCCTGACCAGCGATCTAGCCTCGTCATGGATCGATGACGCCGTAGCACGTTGGCGAGCGATGTAGGAAGAGCGTCCTGCAGCATATCACACGTGACAACCTCATGGGACACAACAGAGCTCATATTAATGAGAGGCAAGAACTTGACCCCGAGATCACCAAGCTCCGCCTCTCAATCGCAACCCCCGTGGTCAAGCAGATCCCTGTCGGTCGCCTTGCGCGTGGAGTTACTTTCATCCACCCATGCGTCGTCGGAATTGAAGCTTGAAGACAAACTTGCCGCCCTTGAAGATGCCCTTGAGACGGAGCTTGGCAAGTGCAGGAACGGCAGCCTTAATCGCAAGACGGATGATCTAGCCTGAGAAAGAACGGAATATCTATTCGCTTCTCTTGAGACTGAAATTTACCATGCAATTACTGTCATCCCGTAAAAAAACAATAGCGCTGGTTCTGTTTGAGAAGAGAGCCTCGTCTACGCGTCTGACCAGTCGTACTCTTCGTCCAAGATGGCCGCGCGAGCTGGCACGGCAGCCCCAAGAAACTCATCTTTTCTGAACGCATCCGGCCAGCCATGCTGACGGTACGAGTGTTTCATTGCCTGAAAATTATCAGTACCGGATGACTTTGGGTGTCATACGCCGCAGGGTAGAGCTGTGTATTCGCGATCGGGGCTCACCTTGGCATCCGGGTCATTCACCGCTCGAATGGCGGCCCCAAAGTTTCCCGCCGCAGGTGCCGGAACCAGCTTAAGAGTTGAAATTTCCTTGTGCATCTTGCTGAAGAAGTTCTCAAATGAAACCGCCTTTGCACTGAGCCATGGTGCGTCTCCTTCGGCCTCGGCAGGGGCGTCACCATACAGGTAGTAATCGTCGCCCTGAGGATAGACACATCCTGCGCTTCTATTAGTATAACTCTACAATAGGAACAACATGTGGGTCAAAAAGAATCAATATTCAAAAGGTGAACCTCTTTCCGTATCGATGAGCCAAATCACACCGATCGCTGCTTCGTCATGTGTCAAGGATACCATATGCGGCGGCAAGGGCCTGTCAAAAGGCGCCAACCCAAGCATGGCAAACGGCCGTTGATGCCAGTTTGGGTCTGGGTCTTTTTCGGGCTGCCACTTGTTTCTAAGGTAGGACAGAACCTTCGTCTCATAGTAGACCACCGCGTCGTCGCCCGCCTCGTCAGTACCGGGGGGCCCCGCTCTCGGATACGGAAGATGTTGTAGAAGGTCAATGACCTTGTCGGAGCGGCCCAGGGTCCGCAGCGCGCCGACATTAAGCTCCTCGTCGGTCCATCCCGTCTCGGATGGCGCCTGAAGGGCGTCCGGGTGCAAATGGCCCATGTCCACGAGCAGGCGGTAGTGGCGCTTCACGAGTGAGACGACGGCACCGCGGTCGTAGCCGAAGGCTTGAGGAGGCTCTCGGGCAGGAGTCTTCTTACGACGAAACATTTTCGCGGAGATTGGGAATGGACGAGTGAGTAAATTCGCTGTTTTTGAAGTTTCAGAAGGGGGAAAGGCAGTTCTTGATCCTAGGCGGCAAAAGGAAGCGGGGTTCATGCAGGTTTGCCGCCAATAGTTCAAGTACGCTCCCTTAAACAACAAGGTTCATCGAAATCAGAAGGTCCATAATGGAACGATGGAAAACAGGAAACGGGAAGAGAAAAGACCAAAAAGAAAAGTGCATTTCCTGAGACATTGCCCTGCTCACTGTACCATGAGGCTTGATTGGGCTCCAAAACATAAACTCCCAGTCATCCTGGAATTCGAAACCACCTGGCATCATCGTAGGGAAAGCTGCAAACGACGGCGAGGGATGTCAATACGGAAATTAAAACCATCGTGATTAATAAACGGAATCGGTTCCTCAATTTGATAACCGGCTGGCCCCGGCGAAAAGCGATGCTTGACAAAATTGAGGAAGAAGTTTGCCATGCATGTATCTGGAATTACCAAAACAGCCTACGGCGCGGCCGCACTGGGACGATACACATATGTAACATGTCCATCTATCTTTGTACTCTCACTATTAATTCCCAATGGTTGCCTGCTATACGTTGTCGTGTTGATCTTCTTGCATGATTCCGTGTCGTTTGCTTCCGGACGCCTACCGTCTGAGCCATTTTATCCAGAAACCGAGCTTTTTACGCGGTTGAACCCATAGAAAGAAACTTTCAAGCGTTTCTGGCAAGTTGGAAGACGGATTCCGCTTTTTGTAAGCATTAGCTCGTCTGATCATCATGTTCCCGGTAGCGCAAAAGGTTTGTCCAGGTCCAGTGGATGAAGAAGTTGAGCTCATCGATGAAGAGGTAGAACTTGTGGCGGATGCAGGACTGGATATGGGCGGCGGACTCGTTGTGTTTGAAAAGCTTGAGAAGGGTACGGAACTCGAAATGGGCGAAGAAACCGTTCTATTTGAGAAGCTAGTGAACGGCAAGGACGTAGACGTGACTGAAGGACTTGCCACGGCTGACGAACTCGTCGTCGGGGAGGAAGTCGAGCCAGGCAAAGAATCTATTGTGGGCGAGGAACTCGGTACGAGCGAGGAACTTGATTCTAGCGAGGATGTCGAGGCAGGCGAAGAACCCGTACTGGACGGAGAGCTTTCCGTGGGCGATGCACTCAATGTGGAGGTCCCGGAGGGATTTGAGATTGGCGGAGGAGTCACTGTGATGGAGGAGCTGGACACGGTCGACAGGCTCGATACAGGTGATGAAGGCGAGATTAGTGTTGTTTGACTTGCTGAAGAGAAGTCGCTCATGATGGACGAAGAGCCGAAGATAGTACTGGATGGACTCATCGTAAGGAGTGAAGAGCTGTTGTTGAGGCTTGAATTAGATGAAGTAATTGAAGGGGGTTTGGAAACAACTGCCGAAGACGGCGTTGATATTGCGGTTGAGGTGGGGTTTACGACACTCTCCGAGGTGGATACTGTTGACGCTCGAGTAGGAGAGCTCGTTGTCGACGACGACGACGAAAATAGAGATGGCGAAGGGGATGTTGACAAGGAAGGCGGCGCCGACAAAGATGACAGCGAAGCACTGCGAGCGGACGACGACGATGAAAGGCTTGATGGCGGGCTCAGCGTCGCCATCGAACCTAATGTAGTGATTGAGACTGACGGCGGTGTGCTAGGTGATGCGAAGCTGCCTGGAGGCACACTGGATGGGTCTATGGTAATTAAACCGACTGTAGGGCTGCTCGAGGATCCTACGAGGCTTGAGCTCGTGGCCGACAATCTCGAACTGCCCATGTCCTTATTAGACGAGCTGGGGGCAACGATCTGGCCGTTTTGACATTGTTCGACTAAGAGATTTCTGCAATTAGCACTTGGGTGATTGTCCAGAAATGTCGGGCTTTGGTCGATCTCACCTGTGTATGCTACGAGAGAGACTGGGTCGCAATTAGGTGGCCTCGAAGCAAAGGTTATATAGACCTGTGCGGTTAGATCCTGGCAGAAGCTTGCATGATCGACGGGCAGGATGGGGTTTGAGAACTGAAGAACCCCCTCGGAAACACTGAATGTAGTTGTCACGGAGTTATCTGGCGGTGTTCCTCCGGCGTTGAGAAGTTTATAGCTCTCGCCAGCATAGAACACAGGTACACCATCGATTGAGAGCTGTCCAAAGGCCAAGTCGTAGGGTTTTGCGTTGTTGCAATCTTGGCGATCTTCATTGGTATTCTCAACCACAAAGCCTCCTAGGACTCTCCTTCTCAAGCTCCGTTTCACAAGTGTTGGGCCTGGAACAACGAGAAAGATCAAGGGTTGAACGGTCGCGGCCGACTCTGACGGTAAGGGAACAGAGTTGGAGCTGGTGGTACTGAATTGGGGTGGATTTGATGAAGCTGGGACGTTGGATCTAGACGTGAATGACGATGGGAGAAGTCCTGATGGGGAGCCGAGAGCAGAGGGTTGTTGAGATAGAGCTGTTCCTGTTGACGTTGCCCTTGATGTATCGGTAAGCAGTGTGGACGGTGGGAATGTCAAGGCGGTGAAGGATGATGACGATGAGAGAAGAAACGAAGGCGGTTGCAGAGGTGGAGTTGGTCCTGTCGAGAATCGCTTTGTTGACATGCCCGTCGATATCTTGGATGGCGATGCTGAGAGCCAAGGATCCAACGACGCAGACACGGTCTCAGAGGCGCCATCTGAGAGATTGGCGGACGCTTCAGTTCCCGTTCCAACCGATGATGTTGTGGTGCTGTCAGAGCAGACTGAACTGAAAACTGGCTCTAAGTAAGTTGAGAAATATGTAAAGCACACTGTCGATGGATCATCCTGATCCGCCTGGGGTGCAATAGCACTTGCAATGATCTTTGGTATAACCAGGGGACTGACGAGCAATTGAGGCTTCATTGCGAACAGACTGGAACCTCACAGCTCCAGAATTGGTCAATTCATTGGGATGGCAACGGTACAGCCTGATACAAATACAAACTGACCTGGATGTGTGGGGAAAGTAAGGGAGTTGCGTGCTTGAGATCTACACAACAAGGGGGCTGATTGCAGTGCTACTGCAATGTCTCGAAAGGTCTGTTGATCAATAGTATACTGCAATTGGTCGAAAATCACATCTTAATTTGCTAGGATGGGTCGCGCCGTGGATGAGGCGCAGGGAACCCAAGACAGTCTCACGAAACGCCACGAAAGGAAACGGACCCAAATGCCCCCCTAACCTCGGATGTGACTGTGGAATGTGATGGAGATATGCACGGCGCAGCAGTCTCATCGGGCCGCGTGTGCCCATTGACAGGGTCGGCCGCGGTGACCCATTTAACACCCTGCCATCGTATTCCCTGACGCCTCCCACCAAATACTTGGGTATCTTCTGCCTACATCCACCAACACCCGAAGAGCTGATGATAATCTATTACCTATGGACGACTGATGAGATATCTGATCTTTGAGAAGCGCGCTCGTATTTGTAGTCCTCGGCATAGGAAACATCATACACACCCTGTCATTGCTTTCCTTATCACCGAGCATCCGCCGGCCACAGTAGGTGGAGATTTGCATCGTGGATTGACCCTAGATTCAATCCGCTCCTAGGAAGGATTATCTCCGTAGCTTTCTTAGGCTAATCAAATATTATCTGGTATTGGGCCTGGGAAAGGCGATATTCAGCATCCATGATCTAGCTAGAGAGGCCACCGGGGGGTTCAAGCGTAATCCAGACTGCAGACAAAGTAATATTTGCAGACTGGAAAAGCCTTGAGCTAAGTCAACATGATTACCCGGAATCTTTGCATACATCTACAAGCTACCTAGTGACAAGGCTGTGGGCTGAGTAGGTCATTGAATCAATCCATAGGAAGCATGCGTCCGCCCGAAGCCAGTACTGTGGCCTACCACATAGCAGGCCTAGGTTGGAGAGTAATAAAGCACACTATGGTGGAGAAAATGACGAAATACGGCCATGGATGCATGAGGCTCTGTGGGTTTGGCATGTCTCAGCTGACAGTGAGATTGTGACTATTACAGTGTGACAACGCCGGCGCCTCATACCGACTTCATCATTTTGCGCCACACGAGGCAACGGCGTAAGGCGTCCGAGGCATCATGCAACGCAGTTGCCGAGTAGTCGGTGTCACTTCGCGACCTTAAGCCTCTCCCCGGCATAAAGGGCTTCGCCTGCCTTTCTCTTGGATTTCAACTTTCACTGCCTCGATTGTCAACCTTGGAAACCCTTGAGGTAGCTACCTCACACTCTCATTATCCTTGATCCGTGTTGCCCGACCCCGATATTCCAGCTCCGGCAATACCGCGGGTGGACTGGAAAAATGACTTCCGATCAGCATCCTCCGGAAATATCGCGCCGCAATACTCACCATTCGCATCATTCTTCAACATTCTCACGATGGATTAGGAGAGACCACAGGGCATTGACAATTCCAAGCGGTATGAGCGGACAGCCCCGAAACAGTACATCATCCGGATCAACCTATGAAGAATATCCATCTTACGACATTACCTGGGATTACTTAAAGAGATTCTTGCAGGAGAAGTGGCCACGCAGAGCATTTTCAAACGTTGGAGAAAGAGTAAATATGAACTGCGCACAAGAAACTTAGCAAATTACACTGATACCATTGCCAACCTCAGAAAAAAGACAGATGGATTTTCAGAGTACCGGAAAAGCTTACTGAGGTATGCTAACCTTATGGCATTTCATTCCAGATAGACGTGATACTTACCCTACGGTGTAGAAAGACCGAGATGACATTGCTGCATTACGAGACGTAAATCAAAACCCCCCTCAGCGACGACAATCATTCTCAGACTCCGAGGATTAGTTTGGGACGTGAGAGAAAAGCTCTCGCGACAGGATGGGGATCGCCTACAAACGATACATGCTTGATACTGTGGTACATGTAAATGATGTGGACATTAAATGATGTGGACATTGGATGGAGGACAGGAACTGAAAATAGGTGGAATCTTGCCAGACAAGATAACGTAGTATCAATCCCACATGATAGGCAAACTTGTTTCCGGGCACCCATTTGCAAACCGAGCTCCAAACAAGGCAGCCAAAGTCTGCCTCGCGTCTGTCGTGGTAACATCAGGCTTGAGGCGCAGTAGATCAGGCTCTACTCGAGGAGGAGGTACGGTGTGATTGGTTTTCGGTGAAAATTGATCCTAGCCCACCGGCGTGAAATGGGAGCCACGTCGCAAGGATGCCTCGCCCAAGGCGCCACAGCTGACACGCGCTGGTTTCGCGGCATGCGACGTGGAATGCTAGGGTCATGCGCCGGTGTCTAGTGCAGGCAAAGTGCACTTCCGTATGCGGTGACAGGGCCCAGGCATATAAGCTGCATTTATGAGATATGTACACATGCAGGTAGCTACTAGCTCTCACATGGAAGTCTGGAATTTGTTATCTTCATGTTGGAAGCCTTACCATAAGGTACGCTTGCCCATTTTCGAAGTTGGGAAAACCGACGGCATCGCGAGGGCATGCGGCGCATTCATTGAGATAGATATAATCATTTCTATCTCTTTTAAAGATACCGGCGAGCGGTAAGAGATGCCGGAGGTGTTCCTCGGACTTTCTATTATTGCTTGATGAATTCAATGGCTTCACCTAGTCCTTTGCCAGCGGACTTCCAGGCCTCTTACAATAACCGAGACAGCTATCCCCGAAACCTTCTGCAGAAGAGCATTAGCAGTTACCCGATCGCACTTACTTCATATGCAAAACGACTGGGCGAACATGCGAATTACCTATGCCAAGTTGATATTGAGAGAGTGGAGGTATGCTTTCGAGACCTCAAGGCAAATAACGGGGCCGGGAAAGGTTGGTCTACGACCACTTCCAATGTGAAGATGAGAGTTAAACAGGTTTAATGAAATCCACAGACATCGCAAAAAGGAACATCCATTCGCCAAAGATTTTGACGGAGTGGCTTGGGGTCCGACACCTGAACGCTGGACCACAGAATCAGTTGCTGGGGGTAGTCGAAAAGGACCCAAAATGTCGTTTTGTGTGAGTGAAGTATTGAGGGCCCACTCCTTGGTGTCTGGAGGACTGATTTATCCGCAGCTATATCTATGGACAAAATACCCGAGCCCGTCTTAACATCACTCGGTCAATGCTGTCCGAAATCCTTACCTTTCATCAGGTGATGCCTGACATCCTGGACTTTCTGTTTATATTCGGGCTCCAGAGTGAACCACGAGACCTTGGATTTAGTAGCTTTCGAGAGCAAGTGTCCCTGAAGCAATCGTTCTCGAAGTGTTCAATTAGTAGCTTGGGGCGTTCAGGAAGGCAGTATCAAATATGTTACAACTTGAAAGGGGTTACAGAGAAAACGGTGGACTTAAAGAATCCAGCGATGAACGAGTATTCCATTCGGCCAGCGGCTTTTTACCACAGATTCGACGTCGAAGGAGGAAACGCCCTGTGGATCGTCACTAAGGGCGGCCTGGACATCCAGGACCGCTTCAAAGAATTGACAGGCAAAGATGCTAGACCGGAAGACAAGTCTTTTGGTGACACTCAGGAATGCTTCCGATCAAGTCTCTCAGCTCATCTCATGTTCTGTCACTGGTCCACGGAAGATTGGAGAGGATACATCAAATGGCTGGAGTATGTGATTGATATGGAAGTATGGTCACTTTCCCTCCCTGTTCTACTGCGAGCTGACTTGTGGGATCGAGACCAAAATGGCAGTACTAGCGCCCACAAGCAACGGATATCACTTTACAGTTTACACAGCTGCCGACATACAGCGCTTCCTCGGCTGGCAGGAGAAGATTAGTGAAGCTATTGCCATGCTGGAGTCAAACATCGAAGTCATGAAATCTCTGATGCGATTCTACACAAAGCTAGAAGAAAACCGGGATTTTGACTTGCGACTTTCTTGCACGGACGACATCGAGGAATTTTGCAATCAGTTATGCAATGTGGTCAATGATTTCACTCTACAAATCAGTCGCGCCAGGGCTCTTGTCAAGTTGACAGGGGACCGAGGCGAGTTGATCAAGCAACATAGGTTAGAACGGCTGAACCAGAATATGGAAAGAGAGGCAATTATGGTACGCATTGTTACAATCGTGACATTGATCTATCTGCCAGCAACATTTGTTTCGGTAAGTTAGTTGGGCCCAAACCCCGCGTCGTGATGTCTGGTATCCAGAAACTGACTAGGAGGACCCGCAGACATTCTTTAGCACGGACATCATCAAGTACCAGGGACAGGACTCACCAGAGGACAATTTCTCTCCTGTCGCGATGGAAAGATGGCTCCAGGTAACCCTGCCGCTCACTTCCATAACACTATTGATCGCATACTACGGGAACAAATGGGCCGAACATAGATCCGGCCGGAGGATGCTCTCCGCCAGCCGCCTTAGCCATTCGACCATTCCAGGAACTGAACATCGACCCGGTCTCGGCCCCAGCTTGCCATCGGCAGGGACACTGCAACTTCCAAGTCGGGTGCATCGAGCCTGGAGGCTAAAGATTGGGGGAGCAAATTCAATTCCCCTAGTACCGGTTAAGAGCACATCTTTCACCGCCTCACAAATTGTCTGAATCAAGATAAGCACCGGGCACTTCAAAAGGCGAGATTAGCAGAAGAAACGTATGGATGATAGCAGCGAACTGGTCAGGATCCGCGAGAAGACCGCCGTCACCCCTGCCCACAAGAAGGGAAGCTGGTCTGGCAGGAAAGAAGTACACACAGATTGCAAACTTTCAGCTTCGAATGGTGATTAAAGACATGCATATCCGTAAGCCCATGCAGCATTGCGCCTTGTGGACTTGCGGTGTGATCTTAATTTTTGAGGGTGTGATGATGAGTGGGGCTCAACATTAGCAGACATACTTTTCTGAGACATGATCATGGAGCTATCAATAAGGCTGGCCAGTGTGGTGTCGCTCACAATGCTCTATGGCTAAAGTAGCACCATTGGATTGTTACACGGCAGCTCAGAAGGACCGTACCGGCGCAGCAGGAAAAGATGTGGCTGATTAGGCAGACTCTTCGGTGGGGAAAATACAGCAAGGCAACCGAAGAGAAGGAATGTGGTGGTGGGCTGAAGCAGGCTGGAATGTTTCCGCCTCACAACCATGGTTCGCCACCAACGAAGAAGCGCGAGCTGTTGAGTGAAATGGGTCATCTGTACAAGACAGCAGTAGGTGGCTGCTGATTGCAGTGCACAATCAACCTTGAAAGGTGCCTGCCAGGCCCATTTCCAACATTCCACACTTCTCCCCACCTAGCTTGGATGCGACTGCCGACTGTCATCGTGCTATTCACACAATCCCTCTATTATTTGTCCCACCCATCGGCCAGCCAGAGATCTTCAAAGTCGCGCACACCTTCTGCTTCTGCAAACAGACAATGTGCCAAACAAGGATTGTCTAGCAATTCCATTTCGCCGTTTTCTACTTAGACAAAAGTCGTATGCGACGTCGACCTTTGCGATGCAGAGAGACATCCACGCTGAGTTTCTCAGCTACCTCCAGAGCGATAGCGCGCGTGGCGTGAACTTTGAAAAGCGAGAATTCTATTTTCCGCGAAGGATTACTAGGTGGCTGTTGCAGAAGCCGCCTAGCGAGACATCAAGCAATGCTGTACGACTGTTTGCCACGATCTACAATGAGAAGAATTCCACGGGAATATTTCTGCTCAATCTCAAAGATGAGGAGGTAGAACGATGTCCAATATTGTTCGCCATCTTAATCAAGATCGATTGCGGCCATATGTTTCACATCTTCCGCCATTCCATCCGGGATGACTATCTCGGCATTCCTGACTTATCGGATTTGTACACTGATATTGAACGAGCATTGGAGGGAGACCATGTAAAGCTGCCGACACGATACAAGAGCACTGAATACAAAGGCGTAACGGAAGAATTTGACAGGCAGCGCTGGGCATTCAATCCTGCCTTGAACGTTCTCAATATGGGCGAGGAGCACGTTAAAGGAAAGAGTGTTTTGCCCTTTTCTGGTGGGGAGACAATAAATATTGGCGGGACAGCGCACGTCCACCATTACAAGATTCATTCACACCTTGTTGAATCTAAGACCCTAAGGCAGATTCTGGAACCCACAAAGCAGGATCCCGCATCTGGCATGGAAGTAAGTTAGAAGGTGAGAAAATTTGGAAAGGTCATGGGACTAACTGTGTTCCAGTATTATGAGTTCGCTGTTAAAGCATATCTCAAAGGGTATGAAGACATCTATAAGCTAGAGAGTGAGGCTTTTAGGGGATTCAATAATACGACAGATCCCAAGTCCCTTGGGGTGGTGACATACCTCGGAGAGTATACTCTCCATAACAGAGGAAGTAAAGAAACTCGCCCGGAATCAGATACATGCCATATAATGCTCGAATTAGGAGAGCAAGATCTCGACGAATACTTAGCAGACACATACCCACCGGTCTTGAATAGGGAAATCATCGCGTTTTGGGAGGGCATGTTCCATATCGCGAAGACACTCGCAAGAATACATCAGCTGGAGCACGTGTGAGGACACAGCATCCAAAAGTATGTAGGGTAAGTAATGATTATAGTTATCTAGTTGATGTCGTGGAGACGATCGCAGCTCACAATCGAATTGCACAGGTGGCACGGGGATATCAAGCCGGACAACATCCTTCGGGTTCGTGGAAAGTTCAAGCTAGCCGACTTTGGGTTCACTCGGTTTGAGAAGAGTACCATTGGGAAAACACAGACAACTCATTTGCTCGGGGGTACCAGGACGTATGGTAGGCTGAACACCCTCCTTCCGCATCATCCGCGATTTATTAACAATTACAGGTGCGCCAGAACGTGACACATCAGAAGGCGAGGATAGAATACTATTTTCCACTACCATTGACACATGGTCATTGGGCTGTGTGTTTTCTGCCGTGGCAACCTGGGTGGTACTCGGATCTCAGGGATATGAGAATTATGGTGAGATGCGGGTCATGGCTCACGAGCAACTCAAAAAGCGGCACACAGCCGACCCGAGTGTCAGTGTGTCGGCATGCATCGATGCTTTCCATGATGGCTCTCAGGTCCTGCCAGCAGTTTTGCAATGGCATGACTACCTTCGGAACTCATCACGCAAGGCAGACACCATCACCTGTCAAGTTCTCGACCTAATTGAAACCGGCATGCTCGAGAAAGACCCTGAAAAGAGACTGAGTTCAGCAGACTTATGTACCAGATTGGACACTATCCTCTTTGAAGCAAAGGCCACATACCAAAATGCTCTGCAATCTAACTCGCTTAATCCGGAGTCCCAGGAAATACTTAGCGCCATGTTAGAGCTTGACAAAAGAGCACCGAAGTCTGCAGGGCCCAGACCTCGACCAGCGACTGAAAGCAACGGCACGCGTAAAGGCGAGACCATTTGGGCAGCTGACAACCGACACGATCCATCCCGACTCGCGGTTGCAAGGAGTAGTCGTGTCAAGAAATCGGAGCGGATCGATAAGATTCTCCGTGGAAAGATCGCCAATCGAGAGGAAGTTATTCAGTCAGGCCTTATTCCCGAAGCAATCTTTGAATTACCAAATGATGAACGCAACATATCAACTGGGGGAGAAGCAGCAGGCAATCCATCTGGAGCATTCAGAACGACGCCTTACGCGCAAGGAAACGGAGTCAATGCTACGATTTCGTCTAACGAAATACCACGCAATCGCGAACATGCACCCTCCTTTCCAGCAATAACCAATGTGTACTCAGAGCCAGATCCGGCAGGAACAAGGCACCCGGGACTCCCAGAGTTGGTGAGCCCCGTCACCCCGACATCCCCGACCCAACAACCAGAACGTTTCTCGACGTCTGTCCCTGTGATCGGTCCACTTGCGCATCGCACCAGCACGTTTCGAACCCGCCAAGAGGTTCCTATTGTACAGCAGTACAAGCGACTACATGCAATCTGGAACAAAAACAATAAGTGGTGGGCGATTCAACGGGAGGTTCCGCAGGACGAGTTTCTGTCTCAATTCATTGACAACAGGGACATTGTAAGACATTCAACATCGTACAAAACCAAATCTATCATCTTGCTAAACATCTCTAGGTATTTATCGTTGATAACGCCGCCAGCATGAGCTATCATTGGCCTGATGTAACAACCACCTTGTTGAGTTTGGCCATGAAAGTTGGTACGCTCGATAAAGATGGACTGGATCTGAAATTCACAATCGGCGAGAAGCACAATGTTTCAGGTGCCAAAGAATGGACGATTCTTAATAAGTTCAGCAAGTCTTTGGAAAGTGTAGGAATGAGTGTGGATCGACGCAACATGACAAACATGGCTACGGCGCTATTGAAGATATTCGATGACTACCAGAATCACGATAAAAAACAAACGCTGATCATTCTAACCGATGGAATGTGGGAAGCCTCAGAGCATGAAGATGATGTTGCAAACGCTATCACTGACCAGCGCTGCCGCCAAAGCCAATCTATCAAACCTACTAACAAATATACCAAACAATTGAAGCTATTCCCAACTGTCAATTAAACAATTCCTGACCCCTCAGATTTGATATATTGGGTTGATTTGGCTTGGTATATTATATA